AACGAGAGGCGCGTCCACGCGGTGGAAATGAGGGGCGTTCCGATGCGGGGTCCTAGCGGCTGCTTTATGAGCTCTTTCACCCACTGGTGTCACCAGAGAGCAAGACCCCTGGTCTTGGTCTGCTCGAGCCACCAGAAGAAAATGCCATGCGTGGGGTGGCTTCAGCAGCTGACATCGATCCCTCACCGCGCAGGGGTGGAGGCCCGGGGCGTGGGTGCTCGTTCGGGTGAGAGCCCCTTCCTGGCGAGCGGGCAGGGCGCCCTCCCATCAGGGGGCCCCACCCTCCTGACCTCATCGAACCCTGATTGCCCCCCGCAAAGAGCCCACCTCCCAAACCATCGCAGCGGGGGCTGGGGCTTCACCATGAGAATCCGGAGAACAGGTTCGGTTCCCAACAGCCCTCCAAACACACGCACGTGCGCGCGCATGGACGGGCCCGGTCCTCCCGGGGAAGCGCAGCGCCGTAGCATTTCAGGAGCGCGCCCGCACACGTCTTCCAATGACAGGAAGTAACGCGGCGACGCTCCCGCCCGCCGAGCCCCTCCGGCCACGGCTCTTCTCTTCTTAAAGGGGTTAAAAGGAGCAGTGAAATGTCCCCCTAGTTGCCCGTTTTCTCCTCTCCCTGCCGGATTTCAGTCTATTACCCACCCCTGTTTTACGGGGGGGACGGAATGCAGAGCGTGGCGTTTCCTGACACTCTTGCAAGGGTCCCTCCTAGGAGGGAGGAGAGGCTATAAGAATATGTAATTTGGGGATGAGGTTTTAGGGGGGCCCTGCTGGGGAAGCAGAAGTGCAGCGCTTCTGCCTTGGCGCCGACCCTCTGACCCTGCCGCTGGCGTTCCTGGGACAGAGGACACCAGGGGAGACATCAAGCCCCGCTGGGCACTGCTGGGGGGTCGGCCTCGGGCGCAGAGCTCTGGCTGCTCTGCTCGCACCTGGGGGGACGTTCACCCCCTACAACTGGGGGCACAGATCTCAACGGACATCCACACGGATCGGTGTGGAACAGTAGAAGACGGCAGACGGCGAAGGCAGCAGTCTCCAGGAAGTGGAAGCTCAGGCCCGAGGTGGGGTTTTAGAATTTATATTGTGGGCACGGGGAGGGGGAGGGGGTAAGAGGGGAGGGGAGGAAAGGGGGAGCACAGGCCGGGCGGGTGGCGTGGGAAGAGTCAAGTGCACATGACCTTCCGAAGCGCCCCTTCAAAGACTGGCTGAGGGAGCGGCAGGGTCTGGTTGAGAAGCTGTGGAAAGAAGGAGGGGCAGGGTGAGAAGTTTGTCTGCTTTGAAGCCACAGGACTGGCCAGGAGCCCACCCCGCTGTTGGTTGGCTAGGTGATTCGGAGGTGTGATCGGTCAGCTTTTGATCAGAGAAGCAGGACCCTCACGGGGCGTGGGGGGCAGGGGCGGGGAGATAAAGGGGTTAGACCTCGGGCAGTCACGTGCGTTGGCTAAAGCCTGCAAAGGACGTTCCCCTGTGTCTGGGGCTGGAGCCCGAAGTCCTCAGGGCCGGAGGTCAGGAAGCAAGGTGAACAAGGGCGGAAGGCGAAGGGACAAGCTGGGACCTAAGACTGAGTTGGAACCCGCCTCTGTCTCTCCCTATCCCCACGCCTCCGACTCAGCTGCGCAGGGTGTCCTGCAAGAAGGCTGACAGCCATGGTGGGGAGGGGGGCGCAAAGCCCACCCCTGGCCCAGGGGGAGGGGCTGCCGCGGGGAGCCCGGCGGGAGCTGGGCAAGCCTGGGGCCCGGCCGCGGCCCCTGGCATCCCGATGCCAGCGGACAAGCCACAGCCTGTGACTGCAGTGCCCCATGCCCTGCCCCAGCCTCTGGAGCATAAAAGAACGTAGCCGCACCTTGACTTTACCTTCCAAATGGTATACACATACATGCCTCCCGGCCCCTGCTAACTCGGAGATGCAGTTGTCGCTTTGTTAGATTGACACAACACAAAGTCACCGCCGGGCAAGTTACTTAATGCTCTGAGGCTCAGTCTCCTCACCTGAGAAATGGGAGTCACAGCGCGGCCCCGCAACTGTAGGAGTGCGGGAACAACACACGCAGGCGCAGCCCCGCCCGACCCGGTGTTGGCTTCTCTCTGCCCCGTCCGCCCCAGAGGGAGGGGAGGCGAGTGCGCTCGACCCCGCGCGAGAGGACAATCTTTAGAGATGACCAGCAGGTTGGAAGGCAGTGAATTAGAGGAAAGGGATGGGGTGGCCCAGGGTGTGTAAGGCTGGTGTTTATTCCGTACTTTGTGAGAGCCCTTTTGGGGGAAAAAATACGCAACTAAAAAAATAAAATGAGATACCAAAGTGTGTATTTAGAATGAGGAACTAAGTCACAAGGTACAAATTTTTTAAAGCTGCTGAATACCACTAACATTGCAAAATTCAGAAATGTATTTCTATCAGCTCATTGCCTGACATACCTTTCTCATCATATTCGTTTACCTGCATTTTTGGCCCTAATCTTCACCTCTATATATGACAACCTTTTGTAAATGCTCGATAGAAACTTAATTCAGTCTTTCCTTTAGAAGGACTGACCAAAATGCTTCTTATCATTTTGGGGGGTGGAATTTTAAGGTTTTGCTAACAAATACGATGCGCACACAAGCTGTCCATTTGTTCTCTGCGCCGCGCAGCCTGGCATTGGGATCGGTGGCCCCGGTGGCCCGCTGGGCTGCTCTGTCCATAGGGGCTTTGCGGTTCAGAGGGGACATTGTGAGCTATCTCAGCACAATAAGGTTTGGTGCACATCGGCTGCGCTTCAAGCTCCCTGTCGCGGGGACCAGCGACCTCCGAGAACCCCAGGCAGCGCGGGATCGCTCCCCTCTCGCTCCCACACCACGTGCGGGCCCCCGGCTCCAGCCCTTGGCTGTCCCACGCCCCCCTTGTCAGGGCCCCTGGGTTTGCGCCGAGCCACTCAATTCTGACACATGGGCCGGACCGGTGCCAGAGGGACCTCTTGGTCCCCTGTTTGACAATCTCGGTCTCACGGGGGGCCTGAGGGCAGCCGTGGCGTCAAAGGGAAAGGCAGCAGCCACCTGCGTAGGCAGCACCAAGGAAGGGCTGTTTCCTATTATGGATCGTTTAGACGTTTCTTTTAACTTCATCGCTTGTTGACATTTAATGTCAAGACATTTCTCAAAGAAATGGCATGGCCACAGCAACCCTGCCCCCGTGAGCACGTTAAAGGGGAAGTGGTGAGGAAGGGGACCGAGGACCTGACCGCGGGGGCGAACATCGCTTACTGGGCAGATTTCACAGGACCGTGCGCCCAGCACCAGCGGCCCCCCCGAGGCCATGGGAGAGGCCCTGCGAGGGGGCCCGGGTTGCCGCTGCCGGTGGCCTCAAAGTGACCCTGCCTTCCGGAGAGACAAGCTGCAGACGGGACCCACTTAGAGGCGACGTGCAACCTGCGGGGTGCGTGATGCCGGGCAGGGTTCGCAACCAGCTGTCCCCTGCACGCAGGAGGGTTGGGACTCCCCGCGGAGCTGGGGAAGTGAAAGCCAGGCCGACCACTTTCCCAAGAAATACCCACAGGGCTGGCCGGTCCCCACCAGGGCAAGGCTCTCCGGCGTCGGTCCTCTGTCCATGACTGCAAATGCCTTGCAGCCGGGAGGGCGGGAAGTAGAAATGCCAGCCACCGAGGACTGGCGTTTCCATGGTGAGCTGCTCTGGGGACACTACGTCTTTGAGGTGACAGTGGGCTGCCCATCCAAATAGCAGGGTGGGTGTGCTCCCTTAGTGCCGGGCCAGGACTTCGGTGGGGGCACCTGAGGCCGCCTACCTGCCAGCAGAGCCTCGAAAGGAGAGCCTGGGGGGAGAAACAAGCAGCCATGGTGGGGGCAGGGGGCAGGGCGGGGGGCGGGGGGGGGGGGGGGGGGGGGAGCACCACCCCCTCTAGGACCACAGGCTCCTCTTGGCCCCTGAAGCCTGGCCCGGGCGGAGACAAATGCACATTTGTCCTTTTCTTCAACAAGATATATTTGTTTCTTGATTATAAAGTCTGAAAAAGAGAACTGTTACCCTTCACCTTCCGGCTGCCTACTTCCTGCAGTGTTTCCTGCGACCATTTCCCACGCATCATTTTTGCAGGATTCTGACTTATATCTGCCTTTCTCACTTTCGTGCAAACACGTCTCTCTCTCCTGAAAAACTCACTCAAAGCATCATGCTAATACTCCTAGATATTTCCTCACACATTTTCACAACGGTGGCCAATTTCAAATGAGTTCTGCAAAGGGAAATAAAAGGCGAGAGGTCCCAAAGCAAAGCTTTGCGTTGCCAAACACGCCCTTGCCAGCTAGCCCGGCTGGGGTTCGGGGTCCCCCCGTTCTTTAACTCTGGTCTCCCCTTCTGCCAGTCCCGTCGCCAGTTTGCTTCGGAGCTGAGCGGGCTTATGGCCCATGTGGGGAAACGGGGCAGACCGCGATCCTCTGGGCGGCAGCCGAGGAGCAAGGGCGCAGGCTCGGCCCGGAGGGTGGGCCTCGCCGCCGCACTGCCGCCGCGCGGGCACTTCCTCGTGCGCTCGCCGCCCGCGGCCGGCGGGGGCCGCGCCCACAGGCCGTGGCGCAACGCGGGGCGTCCCGCTCTCCCGCCGCAGTGTGCCCCCAGGAGGTCCCTTCCTTCATCCAGACCTTTTAAATTATAAACCCTTAAAACCTGGTTTCAAAAAAGGGTTCCAAGCTTCCTGTGTACTTTACAGGCTGTTAAGAAAGCAGACGTTTGAACTGAAGGCAAGCGTCCTCGCAGGGGGGCGCAGCCGCTAGGGATCGGGGTCGATCCCAGGCCTCGGGTGTCGCGGGGTCTCTCCCGGAGGGTCGCCAGTGCCCGCAGACGGCAGTCCGGTGGGCTCCCTCCGCGCCAGGCCCGCGGCGCCGCAAGCCCCCAGCCGGGGCCGCACTGGCGGCTCGGGGCCGACGGAGCCGAACCCGGCGCGGAGGGAAGTCCCGCGCGAGGGCGGGGCGGGGCGCGTGAGGGAAGGGGCGGGTCCCGATCCCTGCGCAGGCGGCGCCGCCACGGCGGCGACGGTAGCCGCTCCGCGGACCGCGCCGGGGCCGGGCGCGCCCTGAGCCTTCGCGGCTCCGCGCCGAGAGCTCGGCCATGCGGCTGTCGCCGCTGCCGCTGCTGTGGCTGCTGCTCCGTCTCGGCGCCGCGGCTCCCACGGCAGGTAAGCGGGGCCTTGGTCCCCCAGGCCGCACGGAGGTGTCGCCGCAGCGGGCGAGGGTGCGGTGGCGGCGGGGAATTCCGGGCAGTCTCCGGGCAAGCGGCGGGCGAACCCCGTGGAGCCGCAGGGCGCTGCCGCCCCTCCCGGCGTCCCGGCCTCCGCGCCGCCCCCCAGCTTCTGCAAATGAACAAAGGAAGGACCGAACCCGGGGCCGGGGCAGGGCCGCCCCTGCCGGCCGCGCGGCGTGTTCCCCGGGGCCCGAGTAGAGGCGAGACCGGCCGCCTGCCTTGCCGGTTGGTGCCGGGGCCGCCAGCTGCAGGCCGTGCCCTGGGACCGGGCGCTGCCTCACCGCGGCCGGGCGTGTTGGACCGCGGGGGTGAAATCCAGTTTTCCCGGATCAGGTCGATGGGAGGAGACCCAGAGCTACCCGGACCCCCGTTGCTGGGCGGAGCCGCTGAACCAGCCTTCGTCCCAGCTCTGCCCCCGACCCAGACAGCCCCTCACCCAGGCTCTGTCAGCGTCTTCTTACCCTTGACACTAACCCACCATACTTAGGAGCCAATATAAACGATTGGTAGAAAAGAAAGGAAGAGTGACAGGTGTAGGTGGGAGAACATTGTGTGTGTGTGTGTGTGTTTGCTGGGTTCTTCCCGGCCGAGACACCGGTGTCATAGACGGTAGCACAACGTCTCAAGAACCGGGAGGTTTCCTCCCATTTGAAGTTATTCAGCCTCGTTTCTTCGACCAGCACCCCTTGCCAAGGCCCATAAATTCCAAGCTCCTTGATGAGAGGGGCCCTCCCTAGCAGGTCGGGCTCCTGGCTTTCCTGGGAGTGGTGGGGAGCGGGTGGATCCCTCCCCCCCAGCCTCAGGTTCTGAGAGGCAAGGTGCGAGCCCTCCCTGGGCCTCGTGCCCGGGTGAGATTTGGGGATGGGCAAAATGTTGGTAGGTGCCCATGCTGGGCGGCGGGCAAGGAGGTGCTGGCACTTTACACTAGAGCACCTGCTGCCTGGCGCTGTCCTGGAGGTGCTCTGTGCCTGTCCCCTGAGCCTGGAGGTCGAGGGAAGGGTTTAGAAACTTCCGTCCGTCATTGCCACACGCACAAGGCACACTCACGTCTTTCACGGGCTTGACTTCCATCGGGTCCTGCCAACGCTCGGGGCCGGGCGCCGGCTGGAAATGAGCGGCCTCCTCACCGCAGCTCCTTTGAAAAGCAGCGCCTCCTTATATTAACCTTCATTTTTGTGGCCGTGTGAAATTTTCTCATACTAAACAGTTTAAAACCTGGGCTACTTTGAAAAGAAACTCTTTGTTAGTCAAAGCACAAGGTGAAAAGGGTAACAATAATTACATAGTAAATGGGTAGTAGAAAAAAATGTCCACCGTTTTCCATAATTTACAAGTGTCCTTCAGCAATCGTGAGGTGGTTTTTGTGGTCAAAGAAAAAAGAAAAGTATTTTTAAAAAAAACGGAGACTTATACTAGCTCCCCCTGAGAGCTGTTTGAGGGGTCTGTTAGGTGTCGGCCTTGACCAGCGTGTAGTGACCCTTGGGGTGATGCTCGGCCGTGGCGTCCGCCGACTCTCCGGTAACCCCGGGAGGGTCCCGGCTCCTGCTTGCAGCGGGCGCGGCGGCTGCTGGCTTCTCCGGTGGATTGGGTCTGCGCTCGGGCCACGGAGGGCTGTTGCTGTGATTGGCCGACGTGGGTGTGCGGTCCCTCTAAGGTGCTTCGAATCCACTGAGAAAGACAGTAAATCCCCCACAACAGAAAAGCCGCTGCAGAGGAGTTGACATCGAGTAGCTCCCCTGGTCTGTCACGTCAACCCTTGAAACTACTACGTCGCTGGGATGTTCGGGGCAAATGCCAAGTGACAGTAATAACCACCGTTTACGGGGCCGCGCTCCTAGGTCCGCCGAGGTGCAGGGGGCTTACAGACGCACCTCAGCTTTCTTAATTTCTTCACCCGCTCTTTCGAAGTAGACAGCAGCCGCCGTTTCCTCCCAGAGAAACAAACCAAACCGTCCTTGTTTTTGGAAGCAAAACACAGTCTGCGTAAATGAGCTGCTGTCCAGTATTTGCTGATGAGGGCAGCTTCCTGGTTATGGCTGAGGATTCAGGGACTTTGTTTTTGTTTGTTTTTAAGAATCAACACCTTTGTTATGGGAGCTAGGACAGGAGGGCCTTGGTCATCCTCAGCAAGCAGCCAGCCCCGGGCCCCGCACACGGTCGTGTGCGCATGCGCGGCCACCCCGGCCTGGTCTTGGGGCCGCGTGCAAGAAGCTGGCCCCGTGGGCACTGCCCCTCAGGGACACAGCTGACTGTGGCCTTCTTTTTCCTGTCGCCATACTTCTGAGTGTCTGTGATAGGTTTTGTTGAAAACCTCTTCCTCCTCGGCAGCAGCTTGCCTGCCCCCTGCGGCCCAGGGGCAGCGCCAAGGGGGCCCGTCCTGCCCTTGCAGTGGCCGCCCGTGGGCCCCGCTGCCCTTGCCCAGGGCCTTGGTGCGGACCTGCCCTGCATCGGGTGCGCTGGGGACACCACCAGTCACCCTTGCTCCACCGTACCGCCCTCGGAGGCCCAGGGGAAGCGGCCCGGGCCCAGCTCCAGGGCCCGGGGCTCCTCACCCCGCAGCAGGCCGCACGCCGCGCCGGCTGTGTGCTTACTGGCAGGGCCGGCCTCTCACGCCAGGCGTCCCAGCTCCTGTTTTTGCTTTCTCTTGCGGCTGGAAAGACCCAGGGGATGTTTTTTTTAACTTCTCACCTGCAGGGGGCGAGGGGCGGACTCATTGGTCTTCATCACAGTTGGTATTCGTCCTAATGACCCATTGATGTCAAGATCTTAAAGGGTCTTTGAATGTTAAGATGAAATGATTAGTTTTAGTGATAATTGTACTTTATTTTATTACCAGTGTGTGTCTTGTGTGAAACTCTGCTGTGCTAAACCGAGACCCGGGCAGCCTGTTCTTAAATCTGCCCAAGGCTCCCACGCCTGGAGCCAGGGCGGGGCGGCGCAGGCGGGCGGGGCGGCGATGGGGGCGCGGAAGGAGCTGTGGTTGTGAGGTGTGGGGGGCGCGCCTGACACCTCGGCTACCGTTGACGGGGGGCGGGGGGGCGGGGAGCCACTGCCCCTCCGACTACAGCGCAGGACGGCGGCGCGGGGCTCAGCGCGCCTGCTGAGGGCCGTGGTTCCCCCCGTGGGAGCTGGGGCGTCGTCAGCACCTTGGCGTCCACCTGGGGGGACTGGATTTGTTCCCTGTTGTTGCTGTAACATATGGCCGCCAGCTGCGTGCCTTAAAACAGCGCAGGCTCCCTCTCTCGCAGTCCTGGACACCAGAAGCCGGCACAGGCCTCGCTGGGCTGCGACCGGCGGGCGCGCTCCTTCTGGGGGTCTCCAGGCAGACTTACCTCCTTGCCTTTTCCGGCTTCTAGAGAAACAGCCGCGCGAAGACATTGGGCCTGCCCGGTGTTCCCAGCCACCCTCCCTGTGCTGAGCTCTTCCGAGTGGGAGCCCAAGTTTACTGACTCCCCTTTGCCACGAGCTGAGTCTACGGGGTGGGCAAAAGCAGGCGGTGACTCCTAGGTATTGCAATAAATACAATAGCATTTAAATATAACAGCTACAATAGCTTATTAAGTCAAAGAATGTTACAATCATCGGCCTGCTTTCTGCCTGCCCAACATATCACAGGGCACAGGCGTCTGCGGGGGCCCCTATTCCACCTTCAACAGGGTCAGACCATTGAATACAGTGCTCGGCACAGGACCGGGTGCCCAGCTGGTGGCCACCAAAGGCAGGGTCTGGGCACCAGGCTGCTGCGGGCCACCTGCGGAGGCAGCCATTCATCAGGACATCTGAAGTAGCCCCACCTGAGAGCCTGCGCGAGGCAGCTGCGTCTGGTTTGCCTCCCATTTGAGGTCTTGCATTTGGCCCTCGCTGCCACCGCGGGCGAGATGGCAGCCCATCACTGTGGCTGCAGACACCGTGGCTCAGGAGCCATGTCAGCAGGGTGCCGTGGCGTGGGCGGTGCGGGTGACAGGATCCGGGTTCCCCAGCTGAAACCCTGTGTCTGTCAACCCTGCCCTCTTCCCGCTGTGGACAGAGGCGCTCCGGCCCTAAGTATGGACCTCGAGAGCGACGCAGATACACCCATGGCCTGGGCTGCCTGCCCCGCCCCCGGGGCCAGAGCAAAGGGGGGCCAGGTAAAAGCAGGGGAAGTCCGGCCGGGCTGCGTGCGGGTTTGAGTGGGTGGGTGTGAGCCGAGGTCGCAGGAGCCGGCTGCGTGACCTCGAAGGGGGTCGGGCACTGCTCCTCAGACATGGGACCAAACAGCCCCTGGGTCCCGGCCTCCTGGCCGTGTGCCATGGTCGCGGCAGGCACACCGTGGGCACCCTGCAGCCCGTCCAGACCCTGTCCCTGCCCTTCGACGCCTGTGCCGCCACCACCCCCACTTTAGAGGTGAGACACGCAAGGCACAAAGAGGCTGAAGAGCCCGTCCGAGCCCCCGGGAGAGCGTGTGGCCGTGAACACAGGCAGTCTGGCTCCGGAACCCCTGCTCCTGACCACCACGCGCTAACAGAGCAGGGACGGGACCCCGGCCCGGGCGTCGTACGCAGAACGCAGCTCCGATGAGGTGGCACTGAGCAGACACCTGGAGGGAGTGAGGAGGAGAGCGTGGCATGACTGGAAAGAAGGTTCCAGATGAAGGGACAGGCGATGTGGGAGTGTGTCTGTCCAGCATTTCCCAGAGACGAGGGGCCATAATCAAAGGAGCGAGGCTGTCGGAGGCGAGACTGTGGGAGGTCAGGCCGCCGAGAGGCCCCGGGGCAGCGGCAGGCGGCAGTTGCCGGTGAGCAACAGCCCTCGGCTATTCACTGGAAACGCCAGCCTGCGCCTTCCCTGAATGTGGCGAGAAGGGGATTCCAAGAAACTCAACTGCAGAGTAAAACCACGGCCCCTGCTGCCTCTGCAAGGATGAAAGTGAGGAGGAGGAGGGCTCCCCTGGGCACGCGGCCGGCACCGTCCCCGGGCCCCTCGGGGCTTCCTGTCTCGGCCTAATGTCTAGAGAGGAAAGGGTGCCAGGAGAGAGAGAGAGGGGGTCCCTGCTGACTGGCCCTGTGACGGAGACAGAAGGGCAGCATCCGAGTGCTGGTCCTCGGAGACGTCCCGCCTAAGCCACGGAGCCTGGGGCTGTTACTTCCTGTGGCCAGTGGGACTTTGCCGATTTGATCCATTGAAGGACCCGGGGATAGGGGCGTGGCCCCGGATGGCTGGGCCCCGTGGGTCCGGTATACTCGCAAGGGTCCCTGGAAGATGGGACAGGGAGGCAGGAGAGCCAGAGCCAGCGAGGTGGCAGCGCGCGGCCGGGGCAGGGACACAGGCCGGAGTCTGAGAGCAGCGCCTGGGAGCTGCAAGGGGCGTGGCACCTTTCTGCCGTCGAGGCCCCGGGAGGGCGGGGAGCTGGCCGCCCCTTCGCCTGGCCCCTTTCCATGACCTCCAAAGGCAAAGTGCAGGACGTGGGTGGCGATGTGTCGCAATGTCAGTGGGAAACTGACAGAGGAAGTCAAAGGGGATCTCTGAGGTTCCCCAATGGACACCCACCGCCACCCCAGGCCCTGCAGCTATCCCTGGAAGCAGGACTCCAGGCTCAGCCCAGTGGGGACGGGGTGGGGGGCTTCAGTGAGCCAATGCGCCCGCCCCTGGAGCAGCCCTCTGGCTTTCAGGAGGCCCGGCGTGAACTGGCACAAGTGCCACTGGTTCCAGAGGAATCTGGAGTGAAGGCCAGCCCACGCTTGTAGCCGTGGAGATGGCGCCCCCAGACTCGGGGGCGCGCCTGCCAGAGGGGAGGTGGCGGCCCTGGCCCGCCCTTCTGCAGTCCTGGACACGTTTACTGAGAACGTGGACTTGGGATTTCCTGCCCTGGACCCTGGCACAGCGTCTCACAGACTCTCCTTCCCACTCCCTGGCGCTTCTCCTAAATCTTTGTATCTCACAGGAATTCTCACCTTGGGGAGCTTCCTTGCCAGAGGGGGGGGCTCCGAGCCAGCAGGCTCTGGGCCCACCCTGCGCGGCGCCTGCCCAGGGGAGGGCGTGGGTCCCCCCTGCCCCTGAGAAGAGGATTCTGCCTTCAAGGGTTCCCCGTGGCGTCCTGCTATTTGTGATCCTCCACTGTCCACGTGTGTCAGAGCCACCCGGGACGCCTGGGGGAACGCAGGTGGCCTGGGCTGGGGTGGCCCGAGACCGGGGGAGGGGGCTCCGTGCGTGTGATGCTGGCGATCCCTGAGACACAGAGCTGCTCCGATGAAGCCCTGAGGAGGGGCCTCGCCCCCCCCAGGCGCCTCGGGCTCTGCACGCTGGCCTGGAGTGTGTGCGTGCGTGTGCGTACGTGTGCCTGTCGGCGGTTTACCACTTGCTGCCTTGGTGCAGAGCCCAGGGCTGGTGCAGTGCACATGGCCACTGGTGTAATCAGCGCCACGGCCTGTGGAGCATGACGTTGTTTGTTGATCCTTTACTCCTGAAGGACGCACTGCCTGTTAAGGCGCCTGCCCCGTCATGCGTGTGCACTCGCAGCGGAACAGGTGTCCCGGGCCAGCTGGCCTCGGACCCCAGGGCCAGCTGGCGGAGCTGGGGCCTGCGGGTGGAAGGCAGCGCCGCCCCCGCCTCCCGCGGACGACCCATGCCGACCAGCGTGCCGTCCTTGGGCCCAGGTGGGGCGGGGGGGGCGTGCAGGTCAGGGGACGATCCGGTGGCGACGGCCAGCGCTTTGCTTTGACACGGCAGAGCTGGCCAGTGGCGGCACGCATCTCCGTGTGTTGTGACTGATTTGTCTTCTTTGCCCCTAACTTTCTCTCTCCCACCCCTTCCCCCTTCTCTTAACCTAGGTCCCTCTCAAGACGCTCCTTCCCAGCTGCCTGCCCCTCGAAACCCGAAGATCCACCTGTACAATGCCGAGCAGGCTCTGAGCTGGGAGCCGGTGTCCGTGGGCAGCGACGAGAGGCCTGTGCTGTACCGGGTGCAGTACAAATAGTGAGTGGATGCTGCTGTGGGCGCCGGCCTGGGAGTGGGGGGGCCGGGGGCCAGGCGGGGCGCGCACCGAGGCCCGCTGCACAGACCTGCCTCTTGGCAGGTCTCTAAGCAATTTCAGGGAACCATCATTGTTTTGGGGCTTTTAAAATCTCCAAGGACAGAGATTTCACAATGCCAGGCGCACCCAAAGGCATCAGAGAACTCTGCTGTCCAACCATGCAGCTGCCTAGTTCGGCCAAAGTTCATTCTCTCGTTGCTTCAGAAAATAGAAAGGCAACCTCTGGGTCCTTGGTGGTTATTTGCTTACTCATTCAGTAAGTTAGCACTGAGGGCTGTGGCATTTTATGTTGCTAAGTAAACAAACTGCAAGACGGGACGATGCCTGGCATCCATGAGAACACAGCTGGCGGAGGGTGAAGCACCTGGCCCTGTTAGGGACCCTCCTGTACGGATGGGTCACGGAAACATTCGTGCTACAGCCCGAAGCAGATAATGCAGCCACTGCCGCCCCCGGCCCCCCGTCATCTCCCCCATCACCCAGCACCCCCCACCCCCACTCACCACCGCCATCGTGGGGAAATGAAAAACAGCGTTCACGAAGAGAGACATCAAAGTGTGTATTCATGTCCGTTAGCAGAAAAGTGCCCGATCGTGTCATGTGAACTTGTAGCTGAACGTCAGGCAGTCACTGAAAAGCAGAATGGTGTCACCTGGCAGCAGTTGCAACTACGTAAACGTCGGAATGAACCTATGGTCAAAAATAGGGAGCAAATGTGGGGAAAAAGACGTTGTTAGAGGAGTGGGATCCCAGGTGATTTCTTTTTCTTCTTGAAATGCCCATTGTAACAGTGTTTGCTTAATAAAAATAGATCTAAGCTGGGGCTTAGGGATTATCTCTGAGTCATAGTAATTACCTGTGTTACCCACATGATCATCTCTGATAAAATGGGCCATGAGGCCAACAGCGTCACTTGCAGAGCCCAATGGCAAGTGAAACTGTGTTGAAACTGTTCAAACGTCACTAAGACTTTCAGTGTGGTGACAGCAGAGCTTTAAACCCAGCCCCGCCCCCCCCCCCCCCCCCCCCCCAGCAGAGCTGGGCTTTGCGCCCCTGCCCAGGGCACAGGGGAGCTGGCCCGACCCGGCCCCCGGCAGACAGCGCACGCTAGCGTGCGCCCGGAGGCCAGTGAGGCCAAGTCCGGGCACCCCCCCCCCAACCCGCGCCTTGACCGCAGCGAGCCTGGCCTGAGGGCCTGGAAATATCAGAAATATCTGTAAAAGAGTTTTTGGGTTTCCTATCACAGACTAACTTGTATCACTTGGTTTTCTTTTCGGAAAGCATTTTGTAGGTAATTTTTTTCAGGCTAGAGGTTGGGAACGGAAACAAAGGGAGGAACGAATGTGCATGTCCCTGTTTGGAAAAGTTACCAGGCCATGCAAAACAGAAACGGGCTGATGAGGCTTTCGTTTCCAACTGCAGAATTGATGACAAAAGAGGGCTTTGCTTTTGGTTTTGTATTAGACACTTTTACATGCTTTGGACATTGTAGTTACATTAAATAATTTCATTCTGATGCTTGTGGGACTTCGGTAAAGCATTAGTATAGTTATCGGGTCGGCCAAACAGTTCGTTTGGTTTTTTTCCACACCGTGGCTCTAGTAGCACTTAGTTGCCTTTAACTTCATTTGAAACAATTTTGTTAGATTGTATTGTGACAGTGGTCACAGCAGCGTGCATTAGAAAAAACATCAAAATTAGTGAATATTTGCATAGCCATTTTAATATTGAAGATGGAAGAAAATACACAACACTTTCAGCATATTATGCTTTATTATTTCAAGAAAGGTAAAAACGCAACTGAAATGCAAAAAAGAGTTGTGCAGTATATGGAGGAGGTGCTGTGACGGATTAAATGTGTCAAAAGTGGTTTGCAAAGTTTCATGCTAGAGATTTCTCGCTGGATGATGCTCCGTGTCACGTAGACCAGTTAAAGTTGACAGCAATCAAATCAAAACATTAATTGAGAATAGTCGACATTATACCATGCGGGAGATAGCCAGCATACTCAAATTATCCAAATCTATAAAACTATTGATGAGAATGAAAAATGTGTCTTTTATTTTATGGAAAAACACCACACGGACTTTTTGGCCAGCCCAATGTAAACAAGTGAAAACAACCCACGTGTCTATCAACAAGTGAGTGGATAAACATGATGTGCTGTATTCCTACAATGGGATATTATTTAGCCACTAGAAGGGATGAAATACTGCTACATGCTGCAACATGTATGATGCTTGAAACATGCCAAGTGTAACATACTAAGTGAAAGGAGCTAATCATGAAAGATCAGATAGTATGTGATCCCATTTATATGAAACATCCAGAACAGGCGAATCTGTAGAGACAGGAAGTAGACTGATGGCCGCCTGAGGCTTGGGGGTTTGGGGGGGAATGGGGAGTAACCACTAATGAGAACAAAGGTTCTCCGGGGGCGGGGGGGTGATAAAAACCTTCTGAAATGGACTGTGGAGAACACTGTACCGCTGTTGACTATGCTGAAAGCCGCCGAATCTGCGCTTCTGGTGGGTGAATCGCAGGGGTGTGACCCAGGTCTGAGCGCAGCCACCTAGAACAGAGCCGCTCAGAGGGGACTGTCACACGCCGAGGAAAAGAGAATCCTGGGAAGTGAAACCCTTTTTCTCATTCCAGCCCCGACAGCAGCAACTGGCTCGACATCTCGCCGCCCTCCCTCGGGGTGAATTGCTCGAGGATCCCCGCCACGAGGTGTAACTTCACCTCAACCAACCTCTCCCGGGGATTCCAGCTGCACTTCAACGTCTCCTTACGCGTCCGAGCAGAACTGCAAGAGCGCACCTCCCCGTGGGTGGTGGCGCCCTGGTTCCAGCACTACCAGAACGGTAAGAGCTGGGGCGCAGGGCCGGGCCGCCGGGCCAGGCCTCCCCGCCCCCGGCCCCACGCTGCTCCGCCCCGCCCCGCCCCGCCCCGCCCCGCCCCGCCCCGCCCCGCGATGGCCAGCCAGCAGCCGGGGGCGTGGTCACCCCCCCCCCCCCCGGCTGGCCACGGGGGCAGTGCTCAGGGAGCGTGGTTTGCCTAGACCAGAGGCGGGTGGGCCGCAGCCGGCGGCCACTCCAACGCACCAGCCTGCTTCATGGGTTAAGTTTCAGTGGAACGCAGCCGCCGCGCCATCTCCTGCCGCCCCCCGACCACAGCGGAGTAGGGGCCTCCTGGCCGCCGGGCCTGCAAAGCCGCAATTGGCTCTGGCCGGCCGCCGCCCTAGAGGGCACGCTAGCGGGTGGGCCGTTGTGGCACAACTTCTTTTATGTTCAAGAAAGTGTGTAACCTAGCCTTGCACGGTGCCTGGCGCAGAGCAGATGTTCAACAATGCTTGTTGAATGATTGCGTGAAAAGCGTGCTCCCCGACAGCGAGGGGGCAGGAGAGCTTGTTGGATCCCACTTGCGCAGGTGCCCCCTCCACCCCAATGATTCGTTCTCCCGGGGGGTCACTGCCCGCTGTTTCCTCAGCCTCTGTGGTTCATGCAGACGCAAGGTTCAGAACTTCCTGAGACCCAGGTGTAAGCAAGCACAATAGAAGGCAGTTGGGGAAACGTGATCACGTCCAGGTTGTTTTTAATCCTCACCCAAAGACCTGTTTTCATTGCTTTAAGAGAGGAGGGAGAGAGAGAAACATCAGTGTGAGAGGGAAGCATGGATTGGTTGCCTCCCACACACACCTGGACCGGGAGCCCCCACACCCAGACCCAGGGGATCAAACCTGCAACCCAGGCCTGTGCCCTGACCAGGAATCGAACCTGCAAGTCTTTGGTTATGGGACGATGCTCCAGCCAACTGAGCCGCACTGGCCAGGGCGCTGTCTAGATATTCGATGATACGTTCTGCCATTGTTGTTCATTTATTTCAGGTGTTTTGTAATGGCATTTTGTCTGTGTTTTTTGAAGGGGGTCTTGTTGCTTAGAGATACCTGCCAGAGTGTTTAGGGACAGCAGCTATGTATGGCGGTCTTTGTTGAGGAGCACAGGACCTGTGTTGCGACCTTCCCTCGGCCTCCTCTGCCTGAGACTTCCTGTGCTGGGCTGCTCAGAACAGAATCGCTGGTGGCGGGAGGTGACGCAGCGATGGAGGGCGCAGGCATGGGTCTCCGCTGGCCGAGCCCCTTCTGGGGACGAGTCGTTTGTCCTGGAGTAGAGAGCAGCACACGTGTGAGCTGTAAAGTGTCCAAAAAAAGAGTAAGGGCGGTGAGCAGCCGCTGCCGGGAGAAAGCGGAGGTCGCAGAAGCGGGGTCTGACGCGAAAGTCCTTGGTCCCGCGCCAGCGGCTCTGCCCTCGCAGCCTGAGCTGGGCAGCGATAGCCCAGGTGAGTGGCCGGTGGGGCTGCCGTTCGCTGCCCTCTGTGGACGTGGTGTCGCCCCGTCCCGTCGCTGCCGTCCCCACTTGTGCTGGAGTTGGGATGCGTGACCAGCGTGGCGATGGGTGGCCCAGGCCTTGAGGGTGGAAGGATGAGACGACGGGACGGCCAGGGACGGCCTCGCGCGGACCTGCGTTCAGCCCCCAGCTCTGGCCCGTGCTCGCTGTCACCCTGGGCTCAGCCTCCGCCCCTGGGACACACGTCGGAGCACCAGCTGCCTGGCTTGTCGCCGTCGCTCAGGGCCTGGAAGCCGCTGTCAGCGGCCCGTCCCTCCGAGCCTTCGGTGCGGAGAGAAGGCAGGTCGTCCCCCTATTTCCGCCCGCCCCCACCCAGGGCCCGGCCCCCGCCTGGAGACAGCAATTCGCTTATCGGTCAGCAATTCGCTTATCGGACAGCAATTCGCTTATCGGTCCGTCTCAGATTCCAGACCCAGGGCCCCGGTCAGAAGGGCGGGTGTTTGGCACCTTTGTCACAGCAATTAAGTGGTTAGTGGCCCTGAGCTCCGGCCCCCGGGGCACTCCCACAGGTGAGTCACGAGGAGCCTGGCGGCGGAGCCCTGCGGAGGCGGCAGCCCGTGGGTCCCAGGCTCCGCCGTGGAAAAGGACACATGGGCACGCGTGCCCGAGGCTTCCGGTCGAGCTCTCCCCACAGCTAGTCCGCTCACCCGCCCTGCCCTGTCTCCACCTGGCTTAGCTCCTCCACCCAGACAGATGTCCTTGAAGATACAGGTGTGAGCCCATAGGGACTGGTTGCTGTGGCACAGAGAGCAGGTAGCCAGACCACCTGCCTGACCCTCACCCGGGGGGAGCGTGGAAGCAGAGCGTGTTCGCTGTCACAGACCCAACAGCTGTTCGCAGCAGCAGGCCGTCTGCGTGTGCACCGGGCGCACAAGCAGGCCTCTCCGCGCTGGGGGAGCAGCCTGGACTTCAGCTTGAGTCGCTCCGGTCGGTAATACAATCTAAGTGCTTGTTCGGTACGGGCCGCCTCTCATTTATAGCACAGGAATCACCGCGCTTGGCTGGCCTGGGAATCGCACGGAAAGCCTTAACAAATAGACTTCGGGGGGTAACGTCTGTCAGTCCCCGTGCCACAGTGACTGGGAGACACGTGTTTAAAGGTCTGTGAGCACCGCTTCTGTTCTTCTGTATAGAGATCGTACACCAAAATGCACATGGTCGGTCAGGGCTCACGCACTCTCTCCCTGCCCCCACGTGCGAGCGCCACCCCTGGTTCACCTTCTGGCACCGTGTCTCTAGGAACCTGATCATGGCAGCATCGCCCACGGCTGGCGGGGCCCCTGACCGGGAAGCTGCACTTTGACTGGGCCAACCTGAAACCCTGGCTGGAAGCCTGGGCTTTGCCGAGCACAGCGACTCCTGTACCTGGGCGTGCCCTCTGGAAACTGCTCTGGAAGGCTCCTTGAGGAAGGCTTGGCCTTGAGGCCACAGAGGCCCCGGTACCTGCCCGACGTGGGTCTCGGCGCCTCGCTGCCGAGCTGCCTCCCAGGAGACCAGGGAGCCCCGCTCTGAGACGCCGTGGGGGCCGCCCGCCCCGGCCCCACAGCCTCCCCCGGCGTGCATGGGCTGCAGGTGGTCTTGTGTGCCTAAGTGCAACCTCCCTGCCTGCACAAATCTGTGTGTGCTCGTGTGCACGCCGCAGAGAAAGGGGGCAGTACACGCACACGTTATATGGGATACAGTGTAATGTGTGTGCATATGTAGCGTCTGTTGTGTGTTTGTATACAATAGGTGTGTATGTATATTTACATATTTTTGTTTTTGTTTGTAATTCCATTCCAGTGACCATCGGGCCTCCAGGAAACATCCGGGTGACCCCGGGAAAAGGCTCTCTTACCATCAGCTTGTCCCCTCCCTTTGACATCCACCAGCTCTCCGCGACCAAGTTTTTGTATTACGTCCATTACTGGGAAAAGGAAGGACCCCAACAGGTAAGAGCATTTTGAAAAATTTTGATCATTTTTTCTTAGAGTTTCTGATACAGCAAAAGAAAGTAGACTGTAAAGTGGACAAGGAGAACAGGCTACCCCGTGTCACCTCAGAGTCTGAGACCTGAGCCAGTTTTTAAAACTTACTTTCCAGAGAGAGGGGAAGGGCGGGAGAAAGAGAGGGAGAGAAACAGTGATGTGAGGGAGAAACCTCCATCGGCCCCGGATGGCGACCTTCCGCGTTGAGCGACGATGCCCAGCCTGCCGAGCCGCGCCGGTCGGGGCTGAGCCGGCTCTCACCCGCCTCTTCAGCCCCCATCGCTCCTCACTCGCCAGTCCGTCGGAGCAGCCCCTCTGTCTGATGTCACACTGTTCCCGCTAGGGGGGGCCCAGACCTCGCGGGCACACTGCGCATGGTGCTTTTGCCACACTCGGGAGGTGGCAGGAGTTTCTGGTGGGTCAGTTTCTACAGCAAGGAACCCGCCACTACAGCCTGCAAGCTTTAACTGTATGCAGCCCGCTGGTTTGAACAGTTCGCAGAAAGGGCCCAAGGGCACAGGCGAAAAGTCCACTGGAAGGACAGAGAGCATTCCAGGGAGAAGGGGCAGGTGACGAGGCGGACAGAGGGGTCAGATCCCAGGGCCTGGCCAGCCCTGCGTTGCGCAGGGACACAATGACGGCCCCCCGTCGCCTCCAGGGCCTGGTGCTCTCCACGCCGCCTTTCCTGAGGGGCCACTGTCCGTGTGGGCGTCAGGGTTCCCGCGTTCCAACGTCAGCACCATTGTTATAATAGTAACGAGTGCTTCCCTTGTGTCCGCGCGGGGCAGGCGCCTTAGGCGCCCCGTTCAGCCTCTGTGCTCGCCCAGGGTCAGCGGCTGACAGCAAAGCAGAGTGGACGGCAGCCTGGGCCCCGCTCTTCCGACCCGCCGTTTGCCTCCCATGCCCTTTGTATCTGCCCCTTCTCGTTGTGGCTTTGTGACCGTCTGAAATCGCCAGGGAGGCAAAGCTTCCCAAAGGGCGTGCCCTTTGCACACAGGGAGGAAGGGCGACCCAGGCAGCCAGCTCCCAGGCTAGTGACCCAGCGTGGGTTACGCCACTATGTCAGATGGCTACGTAGTATTCTTTTGTCTCTGAAAACAAGAAAGCAGTCCCGTATAAGAAGCCCAGCATTGCCATAACATGGTACATCTTTTTCTCCTTTCCCTGTGGCAATGAACTTTGTCCAGGATGAGAAGGAGCAGCCAGGTGTGGGGACGAGGCCTGAAGGTGGGGCAGGGCAGAGAGGAGACTCAAAGTATCTTGATTAACCACGAACTACAAAATGTTCGCTTTATTTCCTTCTTAAGGTTATTTATTTATTTTTAGAGAGGGGGAGGGAGAAAAATATCCATGTGTGGTTGCCTCTTTTGCGCCCCCTGCTGGGGACCTGGCCCACAACCCAGGCAGGTGCCTTGACTGGGAATCAAACCAGTGACCCTTTGGTTTACAGGCCGACACTCCATCCACGGAGCCGCACCAGCCAGGCCAAAATGGTCATTTTAAAGGGGAACATTTCATCCTAGAAATTGTGGCTTTGGCCCTCCGTTGCTGCAGTGGATTCTCAATGGGTGCTCAGAGGTCCCCGTGGCCCCAGGCCACCCTGAATGCAGCGGCGTCTGTCTTTGTACTGCTTGTCCGCGGTCACGTAGAAACATGCCCGCTGCAGGCCAGGGACTCCATGAAACAGCCTCGCCTGGGTCTTCGCTTGCTGTGTTCGCCGCGAAGTGGAGGAACCGGTGAGAGGAGGGCAGTGGCTGACCAACCATCCCCACACGTCCTCTGCTGGTGCTTTCCCTGTAGGTTAAAGGCCCCTTCGAGAACACCTTGATTGAGCTGAGGGATTTAAAGCCTTTACGAGTGTACTGTGTCCAAGCCCGGGCCAAGCTGGATTGGAGTTCCACACTGACCTCTGAGCCCGGGCTTCCCAGCGACACATCCTGTCTCGAAACAACAGCGAACGGTGAGTTCTGTCGTCTTGTGTCCTTTCTGAGCTGGGGGTAGAGCGCCCCAACAATAGTGATGTTGGGACATGCTCGTCAGGGCAAGGCCGAGAGGAAGGGAGACCGAGGGACGGGTGGGAAGGCAGCTCCGTGGCTCCATGAGCCGTGCCGGCGTCCCTGGCCTGGCGTCATTCCGGGGCCGCCTTCCGAGCAGCGAGCTGAGCGCACGGGGCAGGGACACCCGAGTCTGAGTGCTCTTTTAAGCCGTTGGCTGAAGAACAGTCGCCTGATGTTTGCGTCACAGGCGGGCTGGCCCTGTTGCTCACTTTTATGTCATCTCTTTAGCGTCCACCAAGCTCCAGCAAGTCGTCCTGATCGCCTTGGGGACCTTCCTGTCCCTGATAGGGCTGGCAGGGGCCTGTCTCTTCCTGATCCTGAGGTACAGGGGCCTGATCAAGTACTGGTTCCACTCTCCGCCAGGCATCCCAGTGCAAATAAGAGAGGTGAGTGCACGCCCAGGAGGGGGGGCCGCTGCGGGCAGGGCGGGGCCCTCTGTGCACCCAGGGGCACAGCAGCCGGAAGGCGGCAGCCGCCCTGCACCGCCCCACAGCCATCGGCAGATGCACACGGGTAGACAGTGTGAGAGGCTCGCACAGTGGGGTGTGGCTGAGCCTTCGAAAAGAACAAGGTTCTAACACAGGTGGCCACATGGATGAGCCTTGAGGGCCCTGTGCCTAGTGACAGACCCCGGACACAAAGGGACAAGCACTATGCGGTCGTGGTCAAGTTCACAGACCGCGAGGGACCGTGGTTTCCAGGGAAGCGGAAGTTAGGGTCTTGGGGGGGCCGAGCTCAGTTTTGCAAAATGAAAGATGCTCTGGTGACAGAGGGAGAGGGTGGCACCACACTTGCCACCTGCGTTACACAGCTGAGCTGCACACGTACGGAGGGGTAAGGTGATCAATTTTTTAAATATTTTATTTCTTTATTTTCAGAGAGAGAGGAAAGGAGGGGAAGAGAGAGGGCAATGTCTATGGGTGGTTCCTTCTTGTGCGCCCCCTACTGGGGACCTGCCCACAACCCAGGCATGTGCTCTGACTGGGAATTGAACTGGCAAACCTTTGGTTCACAGGCCAGCATTCAATCCTCTGAGCCACGCCAGCCAGGGCACTGCCACAGTTTAAAAATCTGTTTTTAATGGCGCAAGGTTGGTCCCATGGTGACCTGGCCTGGAGGCGGGCGGCACGTGGGTCCTGTGCTTTCTGGAGATCACCTGTCAGGGGCCTGACTGGCACTGCCGAGGTGGTGGGGACGGAAGTCGGGAGCATGAGCCTCAATGCAGACAGAGTGCCCTGAGGATTCTTCTGGAGCAAACACACCCGGAGCCGGGGCCCCTGGCTCTGCCCCCCAGGCTCGGTGGATGTACTCGCACCGTAAAGGCCTCGAGAAAGAAGAGCTGGGGCGGGGGGGGGGGGGGTCCTGCGGAAAGTGTGGGTTCTGCACAGCCCCACCCCTGGGCCCTGGGAGGCAGCTGGGCCCTCTGGGGACAGAGCTGGGACCTTGTTAGGATTAGCATGAGCCAATAGAAGAGTATCTAAAAATATGTGCTTCGGGGGGCTGTTATTCTTCAGTAAAATTGGGGTCACACTGCCATGTCTCCGTTGGAAACAGAATCTTACCCCGTTATATCTAGAATGAGTAGGAGTTAGTCTGCAAAGACGGCAGTGCTTCTGGAGAGAGCTATAGTCACGTGTTTCCTTCATCTGCTGTGAGGCATTTTAAGTGCCCGGGCATCGTACAAACTCCGTGCGAAGTTCCCAACGCAAGCCTCGTGCAAATGCTGCCCAGCGATGCCCCTGCCGGAGGGCCTGAGGCGCACAGGCTCACGGAGACGCAGAGGGGAATGCGCGGCGGCAGCCACGGCCTGGGCGGCGCACCGAGGGCCCCTGAAGGCCGCTGCCCTGCCGGTGCTGTGGTTACTGCCGCACGGAGCACTTCAACTTTTGTTAGGAGGGTAGAACTCAAGTGAAGTGTTCTTACCGCACACAAAACCCAAAATAACCCCAGGACACCCCTGGGAATAGCATCACAACATAACAGCCCCCGGGGCCTCGGCCTCGCCCCCCCCCCCCCCGCATCAGACCGTGGGCCCCCAGCAGAGCTGCTCTCGCCAGCGCGCTCCCTGCTCATGGGCTCTGCAAGCTTTGAATCAAAAACCCAAAGCCTTTTGGTTCACCTTCCTGGGAAAGGGTGAACAATGTTCATCACAGGCCACTAAAGTTACATGAAAATAACGAATCCAGTTTCCAGGGCGCACGAGATCCTGAGCGCCCCAGTAAGCTGCTCCAGGCCCGCCATGTCTCAGCCGGGCACCGGGCTCGCCGTATCCTGGGCGACATGAGGTTGAGCCTGAGCCTGAAGCAGAGGCCGGAGCCAAAGGGACAGTTGGGCGCTGAGAGGTGTCGCTGTGCAGCGGGGGCTCCGCCAGCTCCTCCCGACCCTCACTGAGCCCCTCACCGAGCCCGGGGCTGCTGGCCCTCCCCTTGCTCTCTTCCCGCCGCCTCCCACCCCCGCCCCATCCCTTCAGGGGAGGCCAGGCTTCCTCCTCGGCTGAGCAGAACAGAAAAACCAGCACACCGGCACCCGGTGCCACAGGGCGGAGCCTGCTTTCCCGAGGGCGATGGCCCGTCTCGCCTTCCGAGTGTGACCTGGCTTGGGCCTTGCCCGAGCTGTCAGTGAGGTGGCGCTCGGGGTTTAGACATCGTTTTGTTGGCAGGCAGAGTAGGAGGTCAAACGTGGGGGAGACTAGGGCGGGGCCGCCTGGAGTTGCAGCTGCGGCGCTGGTGCTCAGAACCCGTGGACTAACCACCTGCCGGCTTCCCCCCTTTCCAGTATCTGAAGGACCCGGCTCAGCCCGTCCTGGAGGCCCTGGACCGCGACCGCGCGCCCGGGGAGGATGCCTGGGACTCTGTGTCTGTCGTATCGGTCCCCGAGGAGTAGGAGGTGTCCCCGGCACCTGGCACCGCCACCCCGGCCTGAGGGCGCAGGACTCGGAGCCCGGGACCCCAAGGTCCCACCACGCGGGGGGCCGTCCGTGCCCCAGGAGCCCAGGGGTTCTCGTGGGGGAAACAAGCTTATTCTTTAAGAAGTTTCTAATCACGTGCTTCTGTAGGATGATTCCAAAGAAAAACGAAGATTTCTCCTGAACACTAAAAAGACATGCGATTATTTGTTAGCAAAATGGCTTTGGCGCTCCTGATGTTCTGTTTGTGGTTCGCCTAACACGCGGGCAGGTCGCAGACGTGGCCCAGCCCGCCCCGACGAGGACGAGGGACACTGGGCACCCCGTCACACTCAGCCTCTCCGCTTACAATGTGATTAATCCTGTACATACTTTCTAGTAATTTAAGGTGGTTTTTTTTCAAACTATGAATAAAGAACTGTATGATTAACTTTTTAAAAGTCTGTGTGAGGTTTTCATCTCTTCCCTTTCTCATCTTAATTTGGCCTATTTTCTGCATATTTTCACATTTTAAAAATTAGTATAAGGCTCTGGTTTCTGAAATAACCCCCAGCAGAGCTGCTCAGACCTCATGGTCACTCAGCAAGAACTGTCTACTGTGTCGCTTGGTTCCTTGAAAAGGTGTAAGAGGGCCCTGGCTGGTCTGGCCCAGTTGGTTGGAGCGTCGTCCCAAAAACTGAAGGTTGAGGGTTCAACTCCTGGTCAGGGCACAGGCCCGGGTTGCTGGTTTGATCCCCTGTGGGGGAGCGTGTAAGGGGCAACTGATTGATGTTTCTCTCCCTCTCCCTCCCTCTGCTCTCTCTTGGATCAATAAGCGTGTTCTCAAGTGAGGATTTAAAAAAATACAAGGCATAAAAGGATTTTCAGAAGCTGCCTCAGCGCTTCCTTTAACGAAGGGATGAGTGTCAGGGGTTGACCGAGGCAGGGGCTGGCGGCTCTAACGAGACTCGGCTGGGGACCGCCGCAGGACCCCGGGCAGCGAGCCTTCCGGTGCAGGTGCCGCTCACCCGCTGACTCAGCACCGAGGAAATGAATGTGTAGCTTCACCAGCCCCCCTCCCCCGCCCCATCACAAACACGGGCACAGTCTTTAGAAAGAAGCCCCTCCTGGCAGCCTGAACTGACAATGGGAAGAAGACACTGGGCAGGTGAAGCTTCTGGCAAGGGTCGATGGAGTCTCTCTCTCTCTCTCTCTCTCTCTCTCTCTCTCTGTCTGTTTGGGGTCTGTGCTGCTGGTGAGGAATTGGCTCTCTGCCGACTTTCTGGCCAAACACTGTGTATCCTGCCATCCCGGATGACAAGAGAGCAAAGATTGCCCAGGTGAGGACCCTTGGGGGGCCTCTACTTGATCTGTTGGGCGCATCTTGAGTTGGGGCAGGTTTAGAGGAGGCGTGAGGGGCTGGACGCTGCGAGGACCTGCGGGGGCCAGGAAGAAACTTCGCGCTGGGGCAGCGGGCCGGGCCGGGCCGTGCGCGGCGGGAGGGGCGGGGCGGCGGGGGGCAGGGCGCCGGCGGAGCCAGAGGCAGGAAGCGGGCAGGGCAGCTCGGTGAGAGGGCGAGTCCGCAGCGCGGAGTGCAGCGAGCTCGCGCGCGCCACCGTGTGACCAAAGCGGGTGCAGCGCGTCCGGGGCGAGCCGGCTGCCGCTGGGGCCCGGTTCGGGTGAGGCTGAGCGGGGGTGGGGACGGAACCGAGCGAGTGTCCTGGGCGGCAGGTCGCTGGGGTTCAGGCGCACAAAGGCGCTTCCCAGCCGAAGGCAGCGGCGTGAATTGGTGGCAGACTCGGAGCCCAAGCCCGGGACCAGCCCCCAGGTGTGAGAACACAGGTCAGCCGCCTCCGGGGAGGGGCTGACACTCCCTCCAGACCCGGCGCCCAGCCCCCAGGTGTGCTGTGGCCGCAGACCCGCCACCATCCTAACTCAGCGACAGCTTGGCTGGCGTGGGGCTGGCTGGTCACACAGGATGCAGAGAGGACAGGGAGTTTTTGAGTAAGATACTCCTTTTTTATAGTATTTCCCAAACCTTCCCAAACAGTAAGCCCACGCAATGGGATTGTTATCTATGCTAACTTGGGACTTCATTTCTCGTCCAGCTGAGAGCATAATCAAACCGCGCTGGCCTTGGAGGTGATAAGGACTGACTGGCTGGCTCGCTGGGGCGGTCCCTGGCTGGGGGAGCGAGAGCAGCTGACCTGTGTTCTCTCCCTGACGTCCCTTCTCTCTAAAAATAAATTGAGAAAATTAAAAGAAAAGAAGAGTGACTGGGACTTTAAACAAACCTGGTCCGGGGGGTCTGGGGAGGGTGAGCTCGCACCCTATTATGGGGAAACTCTGCGTTCACAGTCGAATTTGGAGCTTGTGGCTGCCCCCCGCCCTGGACTCCGTCCCTCCCTACGCGTACCCCTGGGGCGGGGCGCGCTTGTCAGGTGTGCACACGGCCCTGTCGCACGTGGCTGGACTACCCTCATCCCCGACCCCCCGTAAATCCTTTTCGGTGAGGAAGCACCTAGCTGATCCTCTGTTTCACAGACGCCATCTTACAGGCCCCCTGTGACAGAGCGCACTCCCTGAGCCCCCCAGCCTGCGCCCTGTTGCCATGTGGCCCGGGAGTTAAAAATAATAGTTCTCCCATTGTTAAATGGTTGGAAAAGGTTCAATGTTTATGCCATTGAAACGCCAGCACCTGCACATAAACGTGGGCCGGAGCCCGGTGCAGCCCGTCCGTAGGCTGCGTCCGCCCCACGAGGCGGGACCGGGTCATCATGGCAGACCCACTGTGCGCCCACACGCCTGGGAGCTTCACACAAGAAAGGCCGGGCTGCCCCTGACCTGCACAGTGAAGCATTTCTTGTGTGGGAGAAACAGACCCGCCCGTCACCGAAGGCCAAGACCGCACGCGACCCTGAGGTTCTCTAATTCAGGGGCAGCACAGCCATGTGACAAGGGGTAGCAGACTCGTGCGTGTGTCCTCTGAAGCCCGTCGTGCGCCAGGGACGCGGCGGCAGAAGGATGCACACCGGGGTGCGGGGGGCCTTCCACCGACGTCGCGGGCAAGGCGAGACCTCGGCCCCTGCCTTCCTGGCCGGAAGGTTTCAGTCAAGAGACAAATGCAGTAAAGCGGGAATTTGTTGGCCAAGGCGACAGCCCACTCAGGAGAGTGAGCGCAGGAGGGCGCAGCACTAAAGGAACAACGGGGGCCTGAGCGGGGCCGCCCTGGCTCACTGGGACGTCGGGGAGAAGCAGGCCTTGGAGACAGCGTCCGGGGCTGAGACTGGGGCCCGCTGCCCCCGCCCCCAGCTGCAAGTCTCCTGGGGACCCTGAGAGTTTAGGAGGAGCTGTCTGTGGGGGAAGGAAGGGGGAGGGAGAGGTGCAGGCATGCTCCCCAGAGGGAGGGGTGGCGAGCTTAGGGGTGTCCCAGGGCAGGATCTCAATGGGACGTGCATCGGCTCTCCAGGTGTGTCCTCTCAGCCGCGGTCTCCGCTGACTGGCCGGCGCCGCGGCAGGGTCCTTAGTCAGTGCAGCTGGTCCTGAGGCCTGGCGTTATCTTCAGGGAGGAACGGTCGGGTCTGAACTGCAAGGCCAGCCACGTGCCAGGGGCCAGGCCCCGCTCCCCCGGCTTTGCCTGTTGCGAGGCGCGGCGAGCTTTCCACCGGGGACCTCCCGGACCTGGCCCGTTGCCCTTGCTCCGCTCAGGTCTGTCCAGCTGCCTCCCCCACCCAGGACAGGTGGCCCAGCGATGATGTGTCTATTGCCTCACGGCCCCAGCGAGCCTCTGAGGTACCTTTGTGTGAATTGGACGAAAGCACCCATCTTGCAAGACACTGATTTCAAGTGCCATGGATTTCCTCAAGCAAACGGGCTCACCTGCATCTGCTCTGTGACCAGCACCTGCACTGTGACCAGCGCCCCCTGGCGGCGCGGCCGAGCCCTGGGCAAGCAATCGGCAGGTGGAGCTTTTTGCGCTGCACGGGGCTGTGGCCCAGATGAGGCGCCTGGGGCAGGCGTTAGGGCCAGAGGCCGAGGAAGGGCTGAGAAAGGAGGCTTCCTCGTATCTGTTCAACCCTTAACTGTTGGAATCACTGCTCCCCTCCCACCCAAGGGCCATCCGTTCCCAGGGGCACTTGGGGCAGCCGCCTTGGAGACCACTTTCATTTCATTCACAGCTACTCACACTTCACCCCACTGCTGAGGTGCCCAGCTGAGGACACAGCAGACGCCGCTTCTACGCTGCCCTGCCCCACACGCACACCTGAATTCCATCGCAAGGGACCGGCAGACAGACCCCAGCGGAGGGCGTGCTAGAAAACCCCGTCCAGTCCTTCATAGGGTGCACAGCCCGGGAGCGGCCTCGGCAGCCTGATCCGCTCCCTCTGGCTCAGGTGGCACGGAGCAACGATCTCAGCTCTCACACCAGAAACAGGTGACCTTCTCGTGGTCCACTCAGGCCTGCACGTTTTCACACTTGTGCCCTTACTTGTGAGCGCTTTCGCCTTTGATTGTTAGCGATTCGCTGTGTGAAATGGCCCCACACGCAGGGAGGGCAAGAAGGCTGTCAGCGTCCTAGAAACGATGTAATTAATAAAGAGTCGTATTAGTCTACACCCCTCCCCCCGAAGACACTCAGTTCCACAGCCATTGAAGCTGGGTAACGGGGGGATCTTTACAGGAAGGGAACCCATATATTGTTAAATAGTTTCTACTTCACATGACCTACAAGGAGGGAGACTAAGATGACCTCCTTTTGTAATGAGCAAACAAACAGGGAAATTAAGTGATTGGCTCACAATTGAAAACCAAAAACAGGCCAAGAGCCGCCCCTTTCGGCGGGTCCTCCGGGACACCCTCAGCAGCCGCCACACCAGCATTTCACACGTGTGAGTAGAACGTCTCCCTCTGGGTTAGAACACGCAGACCCAGGGGCGGCCCCGAGGCCGAACTCCGCCTCTGAAAGCCGAGGGCCACGAAGACCTCGGAAAGAGACTGCCACTCGAGCCTGCTAATTAACCGAGTTTGTGAGGGGAAACTTGCCTACAAGGGCACCTTGGCCGCAGGATGAGAGGCATCCAGCACGGATTACTCGTACGCGTGGCCGAGTCGGCACAAGCCTGTTGCAGGAACCGGCACAACGCAGGAGGCGGGAGGGTGCTGGTGGGTCAGGAGCGACAGCAGCTGCTCTCCGTGTCCGAGCGGGGTCAGCTGTGGGCCGTCGCCACTCTGGCCCGGCCACACTGGTGGGTCAGACAGCTGTCACGGGGCAGTGTCTTCTCCGCACTCCCCGCCGCGTGACCGGCTCTCACAGTCCCATGCGCCCCCAGCCCCCCGCACCAGGTGTCCTGAGCGAAGGGCTCCAATAGCGGGGAGGTAACTCCCTTGGTCACCAGTTGACTGTGGGACACACAATCCGCAACAGCACAGGCACAAGGAGGAAAAAGTGAAACCGGAGAAGCAGCGCAGGTATCAGCAGCGGCGCATTGTAAGGGGATGTTCCGATCAGCGGGCGGCTGGAACCGGATGCCACCGAATGGCAGAAGCACCAGGTCAGAAAGACAGATACTTAGTAGGGACGTGGATGGGGTTGTATGACAATCACACCGAGGCCTGATCTTCAGATGTTAACGTGGCCGCAGCCCCGGGGCCCAGACAGGCCGTGCCCACCTCGCAAGTTGGCTGGGGCAGGTGGCGCGCTCAGGGGGTGGGGAGGGGAGCGCGGGACAGGAGCGGGCTGGACCAGGGCACTGCTTTCTCTCCTGCCAGCGGTGTGTCCCGGTCCACGCGGGGACGTTGCCACAGACCCCGGGTGCATTAAAATACCAGGCTCCCGCCTGAGTCTGACCAGTTGCTCCCTACCCAGGGGCGTGAAGTGGCTGACCCACCCAGGCACAGTGTCCCAGGAGAGGGTCTCCTTTCCAGGGACAGCAGGGCTGGGTGTCCCCGTTGCCATGGCCTGGGGTCCATGACAGCGTAACGGCCATCAGCTTGTCCTCTGTTGTCCTCGCCTTTGCGGTGCTGGGTGTCTCAGCCCGAGCTCCTCATCTGGCCGCTTCAATGGACCGGCGCCTGGAGAGCACCTTTGGCCCAGCCGGAGCAGGTGCCCCAGGAGTAGCTTCATCTGCCGTTTAAGGGCGCCGTCCACCACCCCAGCCGTCAGTGGGCTCTGCGGGAGGCGGACGAGCGTGTCCCTCGACATGTGGCCCCTGTTGCTGCGTGTTTAGCCAGGGCGCCAGTCTTACTTTTTCCAGCCCCTTAGGGCAGCAGCTCCGTTCGCTCGCCGGCACAGGAAGGCCGGAGTGGAACCGGAGGCCGGGGGACACGCAGCAGCGCATACGTGGAGCCCACACTTGGACGGGGACGGGGGGCTGCTATGTGGAGAACCTGCGGTTCCTCGCCAGCTGGGGCTGGGGCCCGGCCCTGCCCCCCACCGCCACCGCCCAGAGTGTTGTGGGGAACGGACAGGCCCCCGCACTGTGAAGGCAGCCGGCCCGCCTTGCAGCCGCACCCCGCCGGCAGCGTCCAGGGCGGGTCCATGGCTCACGCGTGCGTTTCTGCCCAGGCACCTGCTTCCTGGCTGCCTGGGGGTGGGGACGCCCCCCGGGCAGGGACCCGGAGGACAGACAACCTCCATGTCTCTAGCCCCCATACGGGTTTGCTCACGACCTCCCCCTTCCCCGCCGTCCAAGCCATGAAGTCAACGGCCAACAGGCAGCACCCAGACCGGACGCCAAGGGTCACGAATGATGGCCAGCCAGCCCACTCGTGGCTGCAGTGCGTTCCCATTCCCACCCAGCGGGCGTCCCGCGGACACTGGGCTGAGGATGGTGCTCCAGGCAGATGGACGCCCGACACCCCCACCTGCCCCTGCAAACTGGAGGGGCAGACGCGGCTGGGGGCGGGCGCTGGGGGGTGCTCGGCAGAGCCCGACAGTCGGGCCCCCGCTGTGAACAGGCGTGCACGCCACATCAGCCACGGCAGCAGAGGCAGGGGCGGGAGGCAGGGCAGCGTCGCCTGCCCTTGGCGGGGAAGTCCTCACTGCAACTGGCGGCTGCTCTGCGGGGCGTGGCGGACCTCTGCCCTTCCCGAGGGGCACTCTCCCCTGGGTGGTTCCTGCGGTCAAGTCCAGGCCAGCCCCTTTGAGAGGCTGCAGCACCTCTAAGTCACACAGCCACCCCGCCTGGGAGCACCCAAAGCTTTAGGGTCTGGCCAGCATGTCTGCTTTCTCAAGAGCGGCCTGTTCTGACTCCCAGTCCCATGGATGCCTGCTCACTAGGCCACAAGAGGGGCCAAAGCATCCTGCCAAATGTCACCCTTACCCCAGGGTCCCCACAAAAGCCTGTGCCTCTTCCACGTTTTGTGGAACAGGGGAGACCCCCACTTCGCCTGCAATGGCCTCAGGGACAACGTGGGTGTCGCACACACTCCCCTGGACTCGCACCCTCAGGCGTGGGCGGCAGCAGAGCCGGCGGGACAGCTGCAGTGGGGTGGGTCCCACGCACCAGCCTCGTGTCACCAGCGCAAGGGGAAAACAGTGAGCCCCGCCACCATCCTGAGACACGGGGTGCAGTTCCCAAAGAGGGGTGCGTAGAGTCTGTAGCTGGGGGCGCCGGTCACCGGCAGTATGCACAAATGCCACCAGGTACAGGAGGTCACATGCTTGACCAGGTCAGGACACGCCTGTTCCAGGAACTGGCACAACGCGGGAGGCGGGGCCTGGGTCGCGACCCGTCTCTGAGGGGGGTGACGTTCACCGCCCTGTCCAGCTGGTCCCACTCACGGGTCCGACAGCGGTCAGGCTTCGGAACCGCCCCCCCACAGCCCTGGCGGAGTACCGATGAGCTGCTGCTTTCGCTGGCCCCCCTGGATAACTGAAAAATGGAAAGCAAACGAATCGTTATGGCTTGTTTTCTCTGACACATTTGATATCATCACAATGTGAGAGGTGTAACTATTTATTACAACAGGTTACCAGAGAACAGAAACAAGTAATTAGCCTTACAGCTGATTGGAAGCAAGACACATCACTGACATTTTGAGGAAAAAACCATTACCAAGAAAGAAGGAATGAAACGGCGTGGTGGCCAGGCAAAGGCGCGCGTTCTGGCCCCGGCCCCGCTCCCGCACACGCACAGGAGGCCCGCAGGGAGCAGGCCGGGCTCCCCGGAGGAGCTGCGTCCGCCGCTGCCGCCGCCGCCTTGCGCCGTCTCGCAACAGAAGGCTCTGTGAAGTCCGCCTGGAGGGAGGAAGTGTCCACAGGCCCGGGGCCAGCACAGGATGCCACAGCCGCAGCAGGGGTCCGAAGAGCCTCTGGAACCCTCCCGCGGGGGCGCCGCGCGCGGCCCAGGCGGTTTGGCTGGACGGGAACTGCGGGCTAAAGACACACATTTTGCAGGAAGCGCGCGCCGGAAGCTCGAGCGCTGGAGCAAGAGGCTCGCTGCTGGCAACTAAGCGGAGCGCGCGCCTGGTGCTCGCTAGGTCGCAGCGACTCCCTTCGGGAAGAGGAGCTTCAGCTCGAAACCAATTATTCCGCTTTTGGTCGCAGGGTTCATGCTTTGGAGCGGCCGGCCGTGGTCTCCGACTGGCCTGATGCCGAGTCCCGTGGGGCAGCTCTGTGAGCGCGCGCAGCTGCCTCCGTCTTTCCACGGGAACCGCTAACCCTGAGCTGTCCGGGTCCTGCACGCCGCCCCCCCCCCCCCCCCCCAAATACAGTCACGTTGAAGGAAACGTTTTTAAAACAGGCTTTCAAACTAGTCCTTCCAGCATGTAAAAAAAACTCCATATAAAAGTCCACTTCTTTAACGCACAAGAACATGTTTCCTTAAAAACAATCTCATTTTTAAGCCAAAATAAATTACGACTTGCTGAAATACCCTTTCCAATGGCTCAGTGCTTACTCAGCTGTCCGGAGCTGTGGCTTTCGTGCGTGGTCGGAGCTCAGAGACACCGGGACAGAAGACCTGCCTCCCGGCGACAGGCCCAGGACGCGGGTCAGCCTTCAGTCGGGAACAAGGGACTGGCACGCACTGTCCCATCTCCACAGCCTTATATACATAGTAACAATCTAGTCATTAAAAAACCCCAGAGATTTCATAAAACTGTTTCAAAACTCAGAGCATAAAAGTATAAAGAAACGCATTTAATGTACAATCTATTCCATTTGGCAATGTGGAAACTATATTAAAAGATAAAAACTTATCTACAAACAGAATGTAACAGAGGAGAATGCGGCCCAGGGCCCGAGCTCAGCTCCACAGCTCTTCGGTTCTTCCGAATTTGTAGATCAAGGTGCTGCGAGGGGAGGGAAATGAGTCATGAGGGAAGAGCATGTGGCAGGAGCCCCCCAGAGTTCACCCCCTACACCGGCTGTGGCAGGAGGGGAGCACCCGGAGCACACGGAGCGCCAGGAAGGGCGCTGCGACGCCGGCCGCCCTGCCGGCACATGTGGCCCCGCCGCGGCTGCTCCGGTCCGGCCCAACAGAGCCGGAAAGCAGACGCAGCTGGGCTGCACCGTCCAGGAGGCCCGGCTGCGTCCGAACAAAGCTCAGAAATGTTTAAAGAAATACCAGGAAGTCCAGCCCCAGCCACGCAAACAAGGAAAAGGCAGCACATGGGGAAGAGGCCCAGCGTGGAGAGAAAACAGAAACCACCAACAGGGCCGGGCTCGGCACCGGCACGCCCGGGCGGGCAGCAGGGCCACTGTGAGTGGGCCCCACATGCCCGTGGGGTAGGGGGCAGCGGAGCGTGGCCAACACGCAGGCCGGCTCCGAGATGGGAAGAACACAGCTTCCCCGGGGGCGGGGAGGCGCAGGAGACGAGGTGTTGCCAGTAGCCATTAGTGAACTTAGAGGTGTAACAAATAGAAACCATCCCAACCAAAACAGAGAGAGAGGGGACACACACACACAGCGCTGGGGAGCTGGGGGTAACTTCAAGCGGCCTCATACAGACGTAATGGGGATCCCAGCAGGGAGGGCTGAACAGGAAAAGCATTTGAAGAAATAATAGCTGAAAAGATTTCAAATTTGATGAAAACTACAAACCCACAAACCCAAGAAACTAAATGAACCCCAAGCAGAAAAAATATGAAGAAAACAATCATAATCAAGTTGCTTAAAACCAGTGACAGAAATAAAGTTCTCCAAGGGTTAGATCTTAATGATTTTATGGAAGGGGGGTAGTTTTATAAATGGATGCTGTTTTTAAAAAACCAGTCTCCTTCAAATGAGCTGCATACTAGAACTGTGTTCCACTGGTATTTTTAATTAAAATAACACATTTTAGATATATTTGGTGAGCACTATTTAAACATTAGTCATTACATTAAAAGACAGTCATTCTGAAAAGTGTAAGATACGGGCTTCATTTTGGGGGCTTCTTAGAAGACAGCCCCTAAAAATTACTTTTACTATTGTTTTATTTTAATACTTTAAGCTATCTTAAAAAAAAACACCAATTCCCCAATCAGGTTTTGTATGAAACATACATAGTATGTATTAATTCTGATTTCTTTCGTTTTAAAATAAAGGTACCTAATACGTTTTCTGTTTGCTCCTTAACAACACAAAGGCCACGGAAGCAGCGCCCAGGGCTCAAACACCTGCTCTGCCTTTACCAGCCGGGGGTCCGCAGGTGAGCTCTGAGCCACGTGCCCGACGCACTGAGGGTAATTAGGTGGGAATGAAAACGACAACACCTGCACGGCATCCGCAGAGGTCTCGGCACACCGCAGGCCGCTGACTGAACGGCTCTTAAACAACAGCAGAATTTTCATCTTTTAAAAGAAGTTGTATACATTGTAACTAGTCTAAGGGGTTTACGCGTGTCCCGTTGTACATGCTGCTCTCACGATAAAGATGGTATTTCTATAAATGTTTCGAGTGTGGTTAAGAAATTAGGCAACTAGCCCAGGCTGGTTGGTGTAGCTCAGAGGAGACTGAGCACCTGCCTGAGAACCATCAATTCCCGGTCAGGGCTCTTGCCTGGATTGTGCGCCGGGTCCCCAGTAGGGGGCGTGTGAGAGGCAACTGCACAGGGATGTTTCCCTCTTTTTCTCCTTCCCTTCCCCTCTCTAAAAGTAAATAAAATCTTTTTTTTAAAGGAAATTAGGCAACTTACCTTGAAAATATAAGTGCATTTTGAAAAAACACTGCTAGTCCTGGATAAACCTCCGTGTCTGCACACACAAAGTAAAACAGAAGATTACAGAGAGCAAGGGATGGTGACAAAGTATACATGCCATTCGGATGACCAGTGTGGCGTATTACACAACGCTGCTCCTGTTCCTTAACTCTAAGAAGTCAATGATGAAATTAAAATAAGAAAACGCAAATCTCATTCACTCAAAACAAAAAACTGCTCTCACTCTTGATAAAAGACAATGAACTTAAGAGGTTTTCTTTTTGTCTGACGTAATTGCTATGGTTCTAGCTTTATCAAGCCTTTATTTCCTATGGCCAGTACAGAAATAGAAAATGTGAGAAAGATACAAATGAAATTCCCGAGGACGTAAGAGTCTGTCCACTTCTTCTCTCTCCTGAATGCGAGATCCTGCTGTGCGAATGTGGCGGGGGGTGGAGGGGCGGGGGGCGGGGGAACGGACCACTTTGATTCCTCACCCTGTCCTTTCGCCAGGGCTCTCCTGGAGGAAGCGGCCACTGTCTTCCCAGGAAGACAGGAGGGACGACTGGAAACGACTGAAGTTTTGGGGATATTCAACTTTCGTGAAACTACAAGGGTTGGTTAAAAACACTGGTGAGGATGCAGGGGCGTCCATCTCTGCCTCTGGCTACCGGTGCCCACCGGGGGCGGCTCGGCCGGGGCTGCGGGTTTGAGCCAGACCCCGGGCTTGAATCCCAGCTCAAGCTCTGACCAAATGTAGGACTGCGGACAAATTATTCGCCCTCGCCATGCCTCAGTTTCCTCACCTGTCAAAGGGGTGTGATACCAGCAGGCAGCGCGGAGTGCTCAGCACAGGGCCCCGCCCAGAAAGCGCTAAGGAAGTGCCAGCTGCGATCAGGGTTAGCAACCGCTCGAGAGCAGCTGTACAAAGACTGGAAAGATGTGTCAGAAACGCTCTCCGAGGCAAAAGCGCCTGCTGTTTACAAAGAGGACAGCGTGTTCAGTGAGCAGGGCTGGGGACACAGGGAGGCGGGCCCGCAGTGGCCAGGGCGCTGCTCGGGAGGTGCTAGTCCTTTCAAGGTCACGACACAGGGCGGGTGTGCAGCCTTCACAGAGTGATGCCTCCCCACATGCCTCTCAGGAGCGGTGACAGATGCCTGTTGTCAGGTGGGAAACTAGGAAGCATCACGTGCTGCGTCGAGTAGCCACGCAGGCTTTCTGGGGACCCCGCGGTGGCGGCCCACCCTCCCGGAGCCAGGGCTCCCTCCCCGGCCCACTTCTGTGCTGCGGGCCCTCTGCGTGGACCTGGCGCGGACAGCAGAGCGGTGGCCTGGCGCTCCCGCCTGGGCAGAGTGGTCTCACGGTGAGCGGAGAGGTGGGGCGCGCGGCTCTACACTGTAAGGACGTGGAACTGGATGCTTTAAGTGGGCAGATCACACGACTCGCCAATTACATCCCCATGAAGCCGGGTTTAAAAGCTTTCCCTCCCGGGGGCGGCGCGCGGGAGCTGTGTGCTCCGTCCGTGTTTTGCACCAACTGAACCGACAAGCTTGAGGTGCGTGTGCTGAGTACCACTGTCGACCATCCGTCGGCCCGTCCCCGTGCCCTGCCTGCCCCTGTGCCACGGGGCGACACAGGCCTTCCAACGATCCCACGCTGATCAAACTGCATCCCAGCAAGAGTATTAAAAGGTCGGCGGAGAGCGGCCGAGTGACAGCCCGACTCCGCAGATCCGAGGGGTCGGAAGATGAGCGGAGTTACCGAAAGGGCCTCCTGCCTCTGGGGTGAGGGGGGCGGCCAATAAAGGCAGGTTCTTTCCGGGGCCGGAGTGGCCGGAAGCCTGAGAGGGGCGTGCAAAGCACTTGCTCCTCTGCACCAGCAGTTCCTGTGGCTGACACACTACACGCCAGGGTCAGGGACGGGGGCACTGGTGGGAAGGAAATCATCGCGGTCCACACCCCTCATCTGGAGCCCTTGGGGCAGAGTATGTTTGGAATTCAGCATTTTTCAGGTTTAAGAATGGTAACATGGGTATAAATATTACATCGCAAACCCACCTGGGTATGGACAAGCATCCCATAACCAAATACAACCACACTGCTGCAAGAAAACATCTGAAGACTGGTGTGGCTCAGTGGATTGAGCTCTCACCTGTGAACCAGAGGGTTACTGGTTCGATTCCCAGTCAGGGCACGTGCCTGGGTTGCGGGCCATGTCCCCAGTTAGGGGTGTGTGAGAGGCAACTGATTGGTATGTCGTAAAAATAAATAAAATCTTTTTTTTTTTTAATCTGCTATTAGCCCTGGCTGGAGTGTCTCATTGGATCGAGGTTTGGCCTGAGAACCAAAATGTCGCCAGTTTGATTCCCAGTCAGGGCACATGCCTGGGTTCCAGGCCAGGTCCTCAGTTGGGGGTGCGCGAGAGGCAACCAACCAATGCATCTCTCACACATCCATGTTTCCCTCCCTCTCTCCCTCCATTCCTTCTCTCTAAAAATAAATGAATAAAATCTTTTTAAAAAATCTGATGTTAACTGGAAAAAAAGACTATAATGAGCCCCACGCCACTTGAGGTCAGGAACTGCTGCCACACCGACAGTGAAAGCAGGCGGCGGGCAGCCAGGCCCCTGCGGACCCTGGGACTGTGTGTAAGGGCCTGGGGACCAGGCTGCCCGTGCGCCCAACACGCCCAGCCACTTGTGTCCCTTCACAGAGACACACCTTCAAGTGAACTGAGATGAAACTAGTCCAGGCGCAGTTCGGGGACTAAGCCAAACGTGAAAGACATGTGTGAGTCTCTCCTACGGAATGAAGGGGGAACAGGTACTTACTCTGTGTAACATACGCGCCAAAGAGAATCCACATGGAAGCAATAAGCGACCCAAACATCAACATGAAACCGATGAAGAGCCAAACTCGAGCACCTGTGTGAAGAACAGGCTTTAGGACGTTGCTCCTTCGGCAGCCCCGCGCCTTAGGGTACCGGACCTGGAGGCACTGTGGGCCCAATGCAGGCTGCCACGCCAGCCGCACGCTCGCACACCCCTGCCGCGGCGGCTCCCTGAGGGGCTGGGGGGGCTCACGGCTGAGGGGGTTGAGCCAGGCAAGCTTCAGAAGGAATTCTTTGACTTAGCTGATTGGTTAAACCCTAACTGAAAATTTACCCTGTTGTATATAGTCTAAAAATACTGCATACCACATTTTGCTGCGTACCCATTATGATGCCCATGGAGAATAATCATTATACCTGCGTGCACTGCGCATCCTGATTTTCCCCTCACAACTTTGTGTAAAAAAGTGCATTATATACTGCAAAATACGGTCATTGCTTTATTAGAAGTAGCCAAAGTATTTCTGTTAGCCATCCCCGCAAAGGAATGGAAGACCGCACATGAATAAGGACCAATGTTAAACCTAAAAAATGTAGGTAAGTTACAATGAAATTTTCTATAGAAAATCGTTAATAGTAACATAATCTACAGCAATGTCAGTGGATTAGCCTTTAAAGAAAAATAATCAAATAGACTATCCTGTGCCCCGTGGTACATCTTCACCAGCTAACACACACCTCCTACCCTTTATGCTCCTTCAGTCCCAACACCGCCTGCCGTGGCTGCGGGCACAAGACACGCACACAGCACGCGTTCACACGCATGGTCTGTCGCCTGTCGCTGTCCCCTCGGGGGAACGCGTGCCCTAGAACTCCACGCTGCAGCGCCGTGCCCAGGGCAGCAAGACTGCTCTGCACATGTGGACGTTTGCTGAGAGAGCAGGTCTCATGGGAAACGCTCTCACCGCCCAAAACAATGTTTAGTTAAAATTATTTTTAAAAAACTAAGCTCTTCACAGCTTGATTTGGTTTAAAGTGTGACACTTTATGACTCCGTTTATATGGCCACATGACAGTGACAGAAAGCAGGGCGGGGGGTGCAGGGGACGGGGAGGATGGACTGCAGAGGGGTCAGAGGAACTTTCTGGAGCGATGGCAGTGACACAGCTGCAGACGCTTGTCGACACGCAACGCACTGAACACTTCAAATTGGAGAATTTTATTTTGTATTTTATATAAATTATACCCAATCAAGCAGACTAATATATGCACATGACAACACCAGACAAAGGGAGCAAATGGTTCTCAGCTGCAAACATGCATGGAGGCTAAAGGCCGGGCCGAGGGCTGGGCCGCCAGGGCGCTGTTCCCGGCTGCCCGCCTGCTCGCCTGTGAGCCTGGACGGCTTATCTGAGCTCCCTGCGCCTTAGCGCCTTCATCTGAAACTGAGGACAAAGGCACTCGCCTCCCAGGAACACTGTGACAATTACATACATTAATTCGGGACAGTGTCTGGTGCACACTAAGCAGTCTGTGGGTACTTCCTAGTATTCTTACTCATCTTTCAAAATTTCCCACCCGCTCCACATTTCCAGCCACCACCACGGATTGGCCCCCCTCGTCCTACAGGTTGGAAGCAGAACCTCTGGCCCTGAGCTTTGCCCACAAAGCACGGAAATCCCACCGAAAACAAACTCCTGGATCCTAACAGAAGGTGCTATAACCTGAGTAAAAGAAAAACACTATTGGGTGACAATTCAAAACAATTCAAACTCCAAAAAAGGCAATTGGTACGTAGACAAACAGCACATTCTTTTACACAACTGATACGTGGGTGACTACTGGGTTCAGGCCACCAGAGCCGCGTGGGAAAAGCGCTGTCGTCCTCGGCCGGGTTTCCCTGCGCGTCCACACTCCGCTAGGCCAGCGCCACGGGGGCTACGCTCTCGGCCAGGGCCCGGGGTAACAGTCACCCCAGCGGCCATGGGGTTTGAGTAGCAGCGTTTTTCTCCAGGGACTACGGCCAGCCAAGCAGGACAAAAAGAGTAACTCCTGGCAGTAACTAACTTCCTTAAGGATTTGAATAAACACTGTGACTTATCTTAAAAGTTAATTTTTAAAAAGCCCAGCCATTACCAGTTCTACACAAAGACTCACTAGAGGCTTCGTTTTTTCTGATCAGTCGCTTTTTTGCCAACATACACGTTAACAACTTTACCTGTTCTTCCTAAACAGCCGCTTTCGTAGCTGTCCCCTCTCACTTGAGCATTGGACACAGCATTTATCCTAGAACAATAACCAAGTCATGTAATGAGCTTTCATGACGCTAAAACATTCACAGATATTTACTCATTATTTAGACGGAAAACATCTTCTAACTGAAGTCAATATCTGAATAACTGAAGATACCTTTTAACTTACTAACCCCAGGGGACACAGATGTTACATTAGTCTTACTCTCCTAAAGCACCCAGAAAGCATCCTCAATTTTGAGAGAGTACTGTTACTTGTCTCCGGGGATTGGGAGAGAGAGGCCATCTTCCTGGTTTCTTTTGTTTGCACAGGAGAGACTCGCTGTGCCTTACTGCAGTTGAGGGTTCTTGTTATAGTCAAGAATTTAAAGGGCTCTCTTTGTGTCACTCCAAGTGATTTTCTCAGATCCACTTCTAAAACATGGAGGACACCTGGTCCACAGGTGATCAACAGGCCCGCTCGACTCCACCTTTGTCAGAGCAAGGGCTTCTGCAGCCGGAATTGCCTTGTAGCATCCTGAATAAATACGAGTAGCTCCAACTTCTACAACTCAAACTTTTAGAGAAATCCAGACAGCAGAAAAAAATCTATCATCTTGATGTTTAACATATTTTTAATTATTAAAAGACATCCATGAAAAGCTTTCAAACTCTTTTATGAAGTGAGATAAACGTATAAACATGAAAATCATTTGATTAAAAAAAAAAAGCCATTTCTTTTCTCATTTGAGACCAACCCTGCCTGCCCTCCCTACCTCAGCCCCAAATGCTGACAAACAGAGTCAAGAACCTATTTTAAAAAATAATCCTCCATGGTGAAATCCTCAATACTTGAGGATGATTCACTCCCAAAACAAATCCAGAAATGTAACATATTTCATTAAATCTAAGATGCAACTGATTTTTAAAATTCCCCACAATTGCGCTAAAAAGGAAAAAAAAAGAGAAAGAACTCACAAACACAGACGACAGTGTGGTGATTATGGGGGGAAGGGAGTGAATGGAGGTGGAACAGGGTATGGGGGGATAAAGGGTGATGGAAAAAATAAACCAAAACAAATAAATTTAATAAAAAAATAAAACAGCCCTGGCTGGTGTGGCTCAGTGGACGGAGTGCTGGCCTGTGAACCAGAGGGTCGCTGGTTCAATTCCCCGTCAGGGCACAGGCCTGGATTGTGGGTCAGGCCCCCAGCAGGGGGTGCACAAGAGGCAACCATGCACGGATGTTTCTCCCTCCCTGCCCTGCTCCCTAAAAATAAATAAATAAATCTTTTTAAAAAATCTTTTAAAAAATAAATAAAATTCACCATGATTTTTTAAACTGCCAAGAAAGAAAAAAAAAATGTTGTCTACTATATTTACAGATACCACTGACTATATAAAGCACCCTGGTATTTCCAGATAATATAAAAAAAAAAATCTTGGGACTGATGGAATACAGTAAATAACCAGTTTAACAAATATAAGAACAATCATATGATAATCTTCACAGATGCTAATATGATACTACCAAATTTAGCACTCATTCTTGATTTTTAAAAATCTTAATAAAATGGGGATTTATTTATCTATTTACCACTTAAAGAAGAAACCATCATTTCGTTAAAAAGTCCTTCCGGGAGCAGCTGGCACTGACCCTTCAGGAGAGAGTGTTTTGGGGAGGACAGCCTGGCACCGCGAACGCCCACGCGCTTACATGAAGAAGGCCAGCGTGGAGAAGACGCCGCACGTGTGGAAGGCGTGGTTCAGCTGCTCCGGCTTGGGGTACACCACGGCCGCGTCGATCATTATCCACCAGCCTGTGAAAAACTGCAGAAGGGCCCGTCACGGACGCCGCGCTAAGGCCGGCTCAGCCCGGCCTGCGCTTTAGGGCCATCCCTCCTCTTGGCCGGACCTCGCGAATGAAACCCACGGCAGCTCCGCTCCGAGCTCTGGACGCCGACGTAGGACCAGTAAGAGTCCGGGCTCACGTTTCCGACGAGCGGAGGCGCCGGCCCGAACCCGTCCCGTCGGCGTGAGACTCTGAGGGTCCGCTCTCAGGGCACGGGACAGGCTGTCGCGCGGGAAGGCACCCGCCGCCCTCACTTGCACCGGAGCCCCGGCTCACCGCCCGCCTGCCCGCCTCCCGGCCGCCGCGGGTTTCCCTTCCCTCCCCCTTTCCAGGCCCGCGAGCCCCGGCCTCCGCTCGGCCAGGCGGCTGCCGCCGTCCCGCCCCGAAGCTGTTACGTAACTTAATCACACACGGTTTAACCGCTGGGACATGGTTTGCGACATGCGATGCTTCTGCGGACACTCAGCCCAACAGACTTAATCGGACCAGCGGCGGACGGGCGAGCGGAGCGCCGACGGGGCGGTCACAAAGAGCAAGAGCCCTGCAGGCGGAGCGCGGCCCGACCCCTTCTGCTCCCCCTGCGCTTCCTTTAGTTTTTCCCACGGGGCTTCCGGGACAGAACGGCGTGCTGAACGAGATGTAACACAGGCTGCACTGCGCACAGAACGCGCAGTTGGGGCGGGAAGTGGCTGATGAAAGGCTCAAGCAAACTCGGTCATGACTTTTTGTTTGAAGATGCACATTAAGTAAATGGAGTATAAGAGGAGAGGGGGCTCTTTATATCATTCTCGCTTTTGTTTAGATGCTTGACATTTTTTTAAATATATATTTTATTGATTATGCTATTACAGTTGTCCAAATGCTTGTCATTTTTAATAATAAAAGGTTACGAAAGAAAAGCCATTGGGGAGAAAATGAAGCCAGTTATTTCGCTCACCCCGCCCCCTGCCGTGTGGCAGGGGAAGTGGCCATGCAGCGCCCTCCCGGGGGCCCTGCAGGGAGTCACACCGTAACATTTGCTCCATCAAATTCTGAGTGTCTAAGGATCTCAAAGGACTTGCACGTTAACTTAAAAATGCTACTTCCTCCACTGATTGTATTATCTTTGGAACTGAAGAGAAGATTTTAAGTTTAGCAAATTTGCGAAGTCGGATGAACCCGGGACCGACCCCATTCTGCCCAGAAACAGTGTCTCACACTGTGGAGATTACTTCTATGCAACCACGGTGACATAAATAGTTCTGAACGGGAATCGCAGTTCAGAGGAATCCGCGCGCACTCGCAGGGTGGCAGCAGCCCGCCCGGCCTGCCCGCTCACCAGCGCGCCGGCCACCACGGACGCCACGGTGTTCCTCCTCTCGCTCCAGTCGATGCACTCGCACTCCGGCCACCGGAAGTTATCTAGGAAGCCTGCCATGGTCGCCCCTTCAGCGCCGATCTTTCATTAAACACCGTATTCTACAAATAAGACAAAAAAGAAAGAGAGACAACCGAAGGAGGTATTTTTACAAAGTAAAATGTTACCCCTCTTTTAACGCTTGAACACAGATTTACTTTTAGGTCCAAATCTACTACAGCTAAGAAGGAAAATTTGATACTTGGATGGACACCTATGGAGATGTGCACAGGACTAGGCTGGGGCGGAGGGGCTGACCACTTGCTAAGCGAGCACGCTGGATGGACACAGTCTCCCACTGAGAGGTGCGTCCCTCCTCTTGAATTTGACCCAATGACACAGATGGCTTGACCTACAGAGCGGAAGTGATGCTGCGTAGCTTCTGCCACACAGGCCTGAGTCTCGGCCACAGAAGGTGGTGGGTTGTAGCCGGCCCCCTGGGACACCAGCCCTCAAGCCCTCGGCCACTGTGTAAAAACCCCAAGGCCACGCCGGCAGGGCCTGCACAGGTGTTCCGGCCCCGGGTCCAGGTAACGCCCCGACCACCCACTGGCTTCAACTGCGCGTGTGCAACAGACGCTGTGGGCTGGCTGCCCTTCTGGCCACGGCCTCAGCCGGACTCGGGGCCGCCTGGACAGGGCCCCAGGTGCGTGGTGCAGAGACACATCATCCTGCCTGTGTCCAGACAAACTCGTGACCCGCAGAAACCAGACGATGAGAAAATGGCTGTTTTAACTACTGACTTCTGGAGCTATTATCTGGGACGCAGAGACAGAAAATGGGAGAAAACTCACGTGCGTGAAGAGCCACCGGGGCGAGCGCCGCGGGGATCCCCAACGGCACACACTCGGGCAAGGCAATTCAGGACAGCAGAAGGCCCAGGGGAAAGAGGCCACCTGGAAGCACTGAGGGGCAGCGAACAGCGGCAGGAGCTCGAGACGCCGGGCCCTTGAGTGAAAACGCACTGAGCGCCCTGCATGCGCCCGCAGCCCTGCCACCAAGGTGCTGCAACTTTGGCAGGAAAGCGGTGTTACAGGGCTCCACCTGCTGGGACGAGCTCAGGGGAGCAGGTTGCGCTGGACCATGAAACACAAATGGGGATGCGGCAGGTAAAAAGAAGAAAATCTGCAAAATTACGTCGGGTCAGAAAAATACGGGAGAGTCTGAGGTGCTGCAAAGGCTAATGGTGATGAGCCTGTTTGGGGCAAGGTCATAAAGGGTGTTTCAGCCCCTCAAGTCTGCAACCCAGAGGGCCGGCTGCACCCCCTGAGCCAGGGACTGGTAAACTTCCGGTACAGAACTGCACAGCATACATTTCTGGTTTTGCAGATCGACCTGTCACAACGGTCTGACTCTGCTGCCGTGGCCTGCAGCAGCCAGACAGCATGTGCGCACATGAGCGTGGCTGTGCTGCGCGCACGCAGTGTGGCTCCTGAAGCAGGCAGAGCCCTGGGCGTGCAGCCTGCAGACCGTGAGCTCGGCCTGTACAAGGAAGCCACAGCCCAGCTCTCTGACTTCCGCGGCTGTGGCAGCAGCTCTGCAGGCGCGGGTGGGAGGCCAAGGCTCGAGACGCCAGCCCTCGCTCTAGACAGGAAGAGAGAAGAAGGATGCACACGGAGACCAGGCTGGCGGAAGCTAGAGAGAGAGCTTTTAGGTCAGAAACACCACAGGAGAATTCAGGAGGCAGGGAGGGGCTCACCCTGCCTGCGGGGGCGCGCGGTGGCCGGTGATACAGCTTTAACCACAACAGGAAGGGCAGTTTCAGCCCAACTGACTGGATGTGACTGAAGGGTGTCAGGCAGAGAGGTGCACAGGACAGATGGACAGGTACCACAGGAAGAGCAGTTTAAGGCCGAAATACAAACAAGAGGCTCACAGTAATGAAGTGGTAACTAAGGTCTGGGGAAAGCTAAGGCGTCTCAGGGAGAAATTTTGGGAGGGGTCCGAAGACTGATTGAGGGTTCCCCTGACTCATGTCCCTTCTTCCCTGATTCCTGTGCCTGGCATGAGAGCAGACCTGCACCTGTAACGGTATTTAATCAGCACGTAATTCTTCCAGGGTGTGTGTTGAATATGTACAGACCACCTCCTCCAAACCAGGCACCGAGGCACCGCGGGGAGAACGAAGAGGAAGAAAACAGCCCTGGACATCAGGGGATTAACAAAGCAGCAGAAAAATCAATGAACACTTTTTAAAATTAAATTACAATTTGTATCATTTAAAAAATGCTACAAAAAATCAGCAGATGAACAGAGTATTTGTATCATTCCGGGTCTGCATAACCAGAACAAAATACTTTGACTCAAATGACAAAGAAAGTCTACGTCTCTCCCCCGGCCCCGCCCCCCACTACTGTTACGAGCTGTTAACTATAAGGTGCTTCTGGCTTACAGGCCGCTCCAAGCCACTCTCAGAAAAACTCCTTTCACTGACTACTCCACGGAGTCCTGGCCGACACTCTCCGGCAGTTACTGTTACCGCCTCACGTGACTGAACAGGTTCAGAGAACGGGTAACGTGCCCAAGGCCACACCGCGGGCAAGGAGGGGCGCCGAGATTCCCAGGGAGGCGCCGATCTGATCCCAAGGCCGGTGCGCACGGCCACAGCTGTGCGCCGCGGCCCCTCATCAGCCCGCCTCCCACGCCCGCCGCCCGCCGCCCACTCCCACAGCGGCCAGGGAAGGGGAAGTTGCTGCGCTACCGCCTAGGGGGCGGAGCACGAGGAGCCTGTGCAAGAGCGAGCTCCCCGTTTAGAGGAAGCCCATGTCATCTTGAAACCGGGGCGCGCGGCCCGGGAGCACGCAGCGGCCGTGGGGTTCCTGCCGGATGGACCCCTGGGAATACCTCCCCCTCCCGGGCCGCTGTGACCCGGCGTCTGGCGCTGCGGGCAGCACGGCTGTGCCGGCCTAAAATCCAACAGCATGAATTGTTCAGACATCTAAATACTTCTGGAAAAGACGCATTGCATACTTAATCTCAGGGGATGCTTATTTGCCTTCTCACTTGCAAATCTCATAGAACAAGGATAAAATTTAGTGAAGTACCACCCATTTTGGTAGATTTTAATCTACAAACCAAAGAAAAGGATAGGGAGAACAGATTTTTAAAGACTTTAACTTTAGAACTATATAACTTCCCCCAGTAATACCCTCAACAACTTTTAATTGTTCAAAATGTGGGTTGTTTGGTAAATTCTCCCCTTCACTGCTTCTCTGTGCAGGTGAGTCACAGATGTAAATATCCAGCTTCAGATCCACACATGCAGCTGCCTGCATGCGGTGTCACCCCAAAATCAGCGTGTCCAAACACACAGCCCCGGCTCCTCCTCCCAACCGACCTCACTTGGAGGTTCCCTACAACCACTGAATCATCGTTCACTCATTACACAAGCCAGACAGAAAGGTGCTGTCCTTGCGTCTTTCTTCCCTCTCCCGCCAACCCATCCCCCGACGACACCTCCTGGACGTCTCTCAAGCCCACCTTCCCGCCCCGCCGGCTCCTCCACCCCCACCCCAGTGCCCTGGGACCAGCTGTCTCACCTGCCCCACGACAGCAGCCCCCCTGACTGAGCCGCAGCCACACCTGCCCCGCCCACCTGTCCTCAGCCACCGCTGGGCTGACTTTTGAAAAGGGCGCAATGCTGGCATCTCCTTCCTGCTTCAAACCTTCGCCTTCCTGTTTGTTTTAAGATAAAGACAAAACTCCGCCACCTGCCCCCGCGTCCTCTGATGACCTTTTTGTGTCTCTCTCCTCCAGTCACGCTGGCTTCTCTTTCAATGCTCCTACTCCCTGCGTCAACCCCTAGGAAACCCACTCCCCCGCCCGTGCCGTTCCTTGCCCAGCTCACCTAGTTAGTTAGTGCCGACCCGTCCAGCAGGCGTCAGCTTAGCTGTCACTTTCCACCACGAAGGTCAGCTTCCCCTTCGTCCCCCAGCATCCGTTTACAGGATGTCCCCTGCGTGCCTTGCACATCAATGAACAGATAAAGTGCTGACTGTGTGGGGCTTCGCGGCGGGCGGGGGGGGGGGGATGGCATTATCCATGACTTGAAAAGGAGACGATATGCACTGACTGGTGTGGCTCAGTGGCTGGGGTGTCGTCCCCCAAAGCGAAAGGTCGCTGGTTCAATCCCCAGCCAGGGCACACGCCTGGGTTACTAGCCAGGTCCCGGGCCAGGATGCATGCGAGAGGCCACCGATCAATGTTTCTTTCTGACAGCAATGTTTCTCTCACATCGATGCTTCTCTCCCTCTTTCTCCCTCCCTTCCCCCCCTTTAAAAATAAATAAAATCTTTTTAAAAAGTAAATGCTACACCATTTTGGAAAGCGATGCCTGCCATGGCGGGGGTGGGGGGAGAGACAGGACGGTGGGTAAGAGGTAGCAGGGGTCTCAAGGCGAGAGAACGAGACCTGCGCAGTGGGGAGCGAGCCGGTCGGGTGCGTGACAGAGAGACCGGGAGCTGAACAAGGCCCGAGGGCGGTGCCGGGTTCACAGAGCAACCAGGGAGCTGGTGGCGCGGCTGGGGGGAGTGAGGGGAAGGGAGAAAACAAGATGGGGGCGACAGGGGCCAGGGAGGGTCCTCAGGGAGCTCATGGGCCACCGGGCCACCGTGAGAACTGACATTTAAAAGGACCCCCCGAGGCAGCTGTGGGATGGACAGGCTGCAAGGGGAAGGGGACGAGTGAGACCCGTGTGGAGGCTCCCGGCAAGTCCTGAGTGGCAGCTACTGACTCCCGTGACCTGCTGGCTCCCTCGCCGGTCTGACCCCCAGTTTTCCATGGTCCTGGGGTGTCAGGCACTTAGCAGGCATTCAAATTCTTGTCGAATCTGTCACAGCTTTCAAATTCTGAAATGCAATATGTGACTCATGACCCTGTCACAAGGAGAAACGGAGTCAACTTTATCCCTGAGTTTATTTAAACTGATAATTTCAGGAGCTGGTAATAGGAAACCTCACTACAGTGAGGGAAATCAATTCTGCTGTTACAATATATTCAAACACACTCTTTCCTTTAAATCATCGTCCCTGCTTCCCCAAGTCCATATTCTGCCAGAATTTTC